TCTAATAGCATGTCCTTTTTTCAAGTAAATATTTTAATTTGTAAATTTCATTCTCATTCATTTTCTGTATAGCTTCAACCTTTTGCTTGCTTTACGTTTTAATATAATTATTATTATTATTATAAAATCCAGAAAATTACGAATCACCGCGAATAATGACAGCGTTTCACGAAGTGCGGCAAATAAAAAGCCGCATTTGAGAGTCACGGGAATAGGGTGCTTCACTGATCACACTCAATAGAATAAACGTTTCACTCATTTCGAAACAAAACGTTGCTTCGCGGGTAACGAAAATATTCAGTAGGACCCTCATTACATGGTGTAGTGTGACAGAGAGTCCCCCATAACAGAGAGTCCACTTCCCATTCATTTGTACAAGTGAGCCTCGCCAAAGATTTGGACCCACTTAAGACAAACTAACCCTAACCATTGTATCTATATGGAGGGCGGACTTTCTGTTACACAGACCCTCAGTTTCATTACACCGCACCATGATAACTCTGATGCACATGTATGTCGTGGATGACATCACTGACGGTTTTAACTGGAGAAGATCTGTTAGAAACATGGACATGTATTGGGGTTATACACATACATTATCGGTAGCTAGAAATATTATTTTACATTTTTGGATGGTGATCGTTGCATTCATTCCAGAACGATGTACACTCAGACCTCAGAATTTGGAGTTCCAAGAAATTGTAGGAGAAGTAAGCAAAATTTGGTACCTGGGAGCAAACCAAACGTATGACTGCGGGCATCTTCCTTTTAGCTTTCACAAATGTGGTTGCCTCGCGGCAAGTAAGTTGTGCGAATATGTATTTCATCGAGTAAAAGCGTCGATAATGTATAGTATTATCAATATTGGAACATAACTACTACCTTTACAGCTTTTCGTTTTAATGTGGAATTAGAGAAAAAAAATATCCTCACTGGTTGTCATTATACACTTCAGCTTCACATAATACCTTAAGGCACATATATCTAATATATGCCCACGAAGGAGATCGTTGCCATCGACATTAAACCATTGACACGGTACAACTAACAACAGTGACAACAGTAATTGACTGTTGTCATTTTATTGAGAACTGGTCATTCAGTTGCTCTCTTGAGTGATTTTAAAATTAAATTAAATATATATACTCCGCATCTCTATTCACGCTGTTGTTTGGATAATTTTATAACAACAGCAGCGATTCTATTATATGTAAAAATTGTTGTGAGACTATAAAATAATTTTATTTCTTCTAATATTGCAGAAGAGTTTCCAATTTCCTGGAATTTTGTGGTGAACTTGAACTCGTACGGAAACAGGATTTACGCCGCCAACGAACCAGTGGGCACTGTAAAATTATCTGGTGATGGCTGCGCAGTGTTTAACGGATCAGGTATGATTTTATTAATCAAAAGATAAGGTGTATGATGAAGTTGTTTTATTACTTAACTAATCTATTTTGTTTGTCTACCTGATACCTGACATACCCCATAAAAGACCGTACCGATAAAAGTTTTATTATGTTCATAATATTGTATAAGATTTATTTTTATATAATCGTGTCAGTTTTCAGTTGATTTGAACAATTGATCTCTACAGTTTGAACTCTTCTTTTCAAGGCGGACTTCAAATTCCATACTTTAAGAACATGCGTCCTAGAACAAACTGGGTAACTGGTGTTGTGTTCAACAGGCCCAAGAAGCAGAATGCCACTATTCTTTACCAGTGTATTTCCATTTACATAGAAGGTGATGAAGTCTCAGCTGCTGTAGTAGTCCAGAACCCCTTGGGCGAGAAGCAGACCCTGAATGTCTCAGTTACGGTATGTTTATCCAGAATTTTATTTGATTGTGTTTTATATTTTGTTGTTCCTTTCATAAGTTTAATTTCCAAAGTAGTGATTGATTGTATTAACTGTTATAGACACCCGATATTTTCACGAAGACTTTACCTGCCTTTGTCTTCGGTGTGACTCAATGACGCCCGTCAGGGGTCATAACCTCAAGTCAGGGGTCATAACCTTGTGGGAGTACATTCATTATCTTTCTTTTTTAGTTTTTCCATTTATGAAAACACTCGAAATCTTGTGCAACGCATGGATTAAACGATAAATAAATTAACATATAAATCCCAAAGGTAAATGATTGGTTAGATATTTATGTAATGCTGTGCATCAGTACAAAAAGTCGTGCATTATTGCAGGCACCTGGGGCTGGGTACATAGGAGTGATCGTGATATGGGACGGCAAGATCTTAACCCTCACCGTATACGCAGCCGGCGCCGTGTACCAGAACTCCGCTGCAGTAGCAATTGGTAAACAAGGTTGAACCATTCGGATTGATCTTAAATGTCATATCTCATGCTACTGTATAGCGAAGTTATACCAAGGAATTGCTATAGCTATAATAAACTAAATATAACTAATATAAACTTAACTAGTAATCAATCATCGGTTTACTGGGTTAACTGACATACTTATGTTGTAATCTGCAGAGAAATGTGAAGGTTTTTTTTTCTGAAATTACTCAACTATATTAGCTACGAAGTTTAATTTGAAGAAAGAATTAGATATTGGGGTGGTACGGATTAGCACTAAAACCCACTCCGCGTCAAAGCTACACTGGTAGTAATACCTATTGGCACACACACTGGATCTCTTGCTGCATTGGATCGAAGGGTGTGTTGTAGATTTTTAAACATATAATCAGTTATATCTTTCTCGAAAGTGTGCCAAAGCACATTCGATGACTATATTCTCAAGTCGTTGGTGGAGGTTTTCACTATCTGTGTGCATTTCTAGTTACTATTATTATTATTATTATGAACTGCACATAGACTATAGAACCATTTTACTTGTGTTATGTTTATCAGGGCTAACGTTTCACCATGTTATTTCAGACCCCGACAATGATTACACATGCTCGATCGTTTGTTTACCACAACAGCCTCTGTTTGTCAGTTACTATCCCTTAGACGACCCCCCTCCGTGGCCTGGGCCTGGGGTATGGCCAGGGCCATGGCCATATGCAGGTCTCCCTGGAAGCTATTCTGGCAATATTTGTTTGGTAAGTATATGTATTTACCTTATACCCTTGTAGGTGAGGATCCATTTTTTTTTTTTTTTTGGGGGGGGGGGAGGAGGGGAGCAGGGATCAAAATAACCCACGGTGATACAAAAGAGATATAAAACAGGAAACTTGAAGAGTTTTACAATGATGTGTTCTGATATGGCCCACTGTTGAAGACATATTTTGGTCGTCACGTTTTGGTGTTCATAGTGTATTTTGCTCCGGGGAAGTACTTTCGAAGTTAAGGTGGGAAGATTAATTGGCATATGGCCCACTGATATCAATCAATATGCCTGATGAGAAAAAAGTCAACTTTTTTTAAACATTATTCATCTTTTTTCAGCTATTCTTTACCGACGAAGTGTATCCTAACGCCGATGCTGTCAAAGCTGATATGCAGCTTGGTTACTTTGGACCATCGTGGTAATAATATTGGCTATCGGTAATGACGACAGACCCCCAGCAAAGAGAGAAACGGCGATAATCGCGTTCCGCTGAGAGAACATCTTTATGTATAAAAGAGGGCTCCAATGATGATTTTTGATAATCGAAAGTAGAACTGGATTCCTGAATAAAAAAAACGTGATCGTGTTTGACACGTTTCTAGTTACTGGAAAGATGTGATTTTACGATTATAATGCCTTCCACTTATTGTTCCCGAAGTAAAATGTATCAAAATAAAAGAGATTGTTTTAACATGTATTGAAATAAACTTTGGAAGTATTTTAAAATATAGTTTGCGTTATGCAGTGTGTGTGTTGAGAGGGGAGCGAGATTTAGTCTGTGAAACATTTTAAAATAGCTCCTACTGTACGTTTCGGTTATTATTATTATTATTATTATTATTATTATTATTATTATTATTATTATTTTGTAAACAGTTTGTGTCCGGCTTGTGTGAGAGAGATTGGTATTATTCGTTGGCACTGAGATACTGTATTTGTTAATGTCGCCAAAAAGGTGAATATCTCATCCCATCAAAATATTTCAAATATTTCATCCAACTCTTCCACTGTCATCCCAATACTACGCTTTCTCGTAAAATTACAATATTATAACTAGCAAGTTGCAAGAACGATCGAGTACCCTGATGCTGAAAATTTAATCGCAATGTGTAAAGTAGCTGTGCGCGTTCTTTATTGCGACCTTGCTGACATTTGCCATATCTATTCCTTAGCAGAATTAACACAGGGAGTAACACGTACAGGTTTGGGCACACACTTATTCGAAAATCTCTATTTTTCGAAATAATTCAAAAATAAAACATGCAGTTGGTGTACGTCAGACGGAAAAGAGTCAATTAAGGTTGGTAATGTACAGTAAACATGCACAGTCTGTTACATGAGATTTTGCAACAAGTTTATGTTTATGTAATGATTCTAGTTTATTTATATCTGGAAATTGATCCTAACATATAAACAAAAAAAAAACGCAGTTCACATTTTACCTTATTAAAGGCGTTCTGAATAAATGGACACGAGGTAAACAAAACTAGCACTGTCAAATTAACATTCATACACTCTTGCTATGATTATATGAAACGTTTTGAAAATTTATGATTTGATATTCATTTTTGATTTCAATGTGACAGTTGTCGAAAGAAATCTGACATAGAGTTGCCTTAAACAGAGAGGCTGTAATGAGTAGCAAAAGTGAAAATGAATTACATTCATTTAATGCAGCAAAGAAATTTTAAGTACACTTTCGCCGATCTTGATACTGGTGCTAGTGCTTCGGCGGCAATGTTTGTTATGCCCCTATTTCACACAGACCACGAATCACATGAATGGCCATGAATTGAAAAATTTCTCGATTCGTGGTTGAATCGTAATCAGTTCGTGAAGTTCTTAACAGATTCGTATATATTCGTAGTCAGTTCTTGCACTTCTTGACCAACAGGAATTGGTGGAAAAAACTTTGATGCCCCTATTTCACACAGACCACGAATCCCACGAATCGCCAGGAATTGAAAATTTCAGGATTCGTGGTTGAATCGTAATCAGTTCGTGAAGTTCTTAACAGATTCGTATATAATCGTAGTCACTTCTTGCAATTCTTGATCAATCGGGAATTCGTGGCAAAATTTTTGAGCTGTTCAAAGTTTTGGCCACGAACTCCCGATTCCAAAAAATCGAAGTGAATTTCTGGACAATATTCGTGCGATTCCAGCCGAATCCCACGAACATTCGTAACACTATCGCACCTGTATCGTAACTGAATCGTCAGCGTGTCGAATTATACCAGAAAATTGGCAAAATCTCACGAATCCTCACGAATCCTGAAATTTGTCAATTCCTGGCGATCCGTGGGATTCGTGGTCTGTGTGAAATAGGGGCCTTACATGTATGAGAATAGAAGTGGTAGCAAGAAGAAGAGCTAATTAGCCGACAATGTACCGGTATCTGCACATATGTACTTGCATATCTGGTACTACACAAAGCTGACTTATTTAAACAAAGAGAATTCATTTTTCAGTAGATATAGAAAAATATGTGAAATTTACCGGTCAATATTTCGTCTGCTGACAGTCAGGTGTTAACGGGGAAATAAAGACTGTGATAGACATTACAACCCATCGCCCCTCAGGTTTGAGGTGCACTGGTTCTGTTTAATTTGTTCTTACGGTAGTATATATAAATTTTCACCATCATGAACTTATAATTGGCACTTAACGTTTAAACAAGCCATGTATCATGAAAAAATTAATAATAGCACTATTAATCTAATTGACGCATGCAGTCTATCCTAGCTTCTCTCCTAGTTATATGCGATGAAATAATCACAAATGGTGTCAAAACACTACCGCCGGCAATACATTATATTTTAAAAAACATACATTAGCATTTTCATTAGCATCAATTATGCAGTATTAACTGTCATGTGCTTTTTAGTAAAGGGGGAAGCTAAATTGTTCGAAGCAGTTAATCGTAAAATCTGAATTTAGATGGTGAATTTAAAAAACTTGACTAACAACAGACCCAATTTATTTTAGGGCACGTTATTTTTAATATGATTTTATCAATTCAAGAGGATCCTTATTTGTCTTTTTTTTAAATGGTTTACACAAAAGGGTGTTTTGTGTTCCACCCTTCCCGGCCTTCATTACTCTAAAATTAACAATTTAAATTGGCTTCAACCGCCCTTGTTTATCGTTTGGCAACCAAAGAGACATAACCAGTGATAAAACAATGCTCTTAGTATCGCGAATCTAAGATTTCCCCCGCTTGAGTTGGCAGGGGAGAAGGATAAAAGAAGCGAGCGGCAGCGTTGGGCGTCTCACTGCTTCCTACCGTTGACAGGTTTGCAGGTAAGGTAAGAGACATATAATAAGGCCAGTCAGTTTGTAGTCTCAACCATAAGCTTATCATTTTCATGGTATCTACTCGGTTTTGCTTTTCGGGAGATAAATGTAAGACGTTCGTGTATGGGCGGTGGAAAGGGTCGGATAAAAAGGAATCTATTTTTTTCTCGACTGACCATTGCAAATCCCTTTACCACACATTCTCTTGATAAAAGAGTGGACAATTTCAACAGGAGGTGATTTACTATATTTATCATTACATATGAAAGAGCTACATGAGCTACATAAGCCAACCTGATGTAATTCTTTTATTGGATAGATTTTTTTTATTTTAATCTAGACATATTCCTGAATGATGCAAAGTGTTAGTTTTCGGTTCACAATGAAGATCATTCAAGTGTGCCTAGCTCTGATAGGCGCTGCCTACGCTCATTTACCTATTGGTAAGTTTTTAAAAAAGAACTGTTAAACTGTTGTATCGATGTTATTGTGACTAGTACATGTAATTGTTTTTTATCGCCACTTTTGGAGGACAAACAATCAAGGACTTGGAATGCAATCACAAAGGGGGAAATATTAATGAAAACTAGCAATATTTATTTCCATTCGATTAACACAATATTAAACAAATAAAGTATAAAATTATTTTTTAGGAGAAGTTGAGAAACGATGCCTGGTGGACAAACCGCACGTGTCACAAGGTGTCGCTTACGTCGCGGACGTCGATTGCGCCTATTACTGGCAGTGTGACTTCGCCAACACCCTACTGAAAAATGTCACCCTAAAATCTTGTCCCATCGGAACGCTGTGGGCCTCCATCGCGAGTTTAGGAACCCCACCAGTGCCGGGCCAGGAACCCGTGGTTTGTGTCAACTGCGGGCTACAACCCGACCCTGTGTGTCAAGCCCAGCATCCCCTCGGGTCGGAACAGTGTCCACATCGTATGTGTCATCTCATACTAATTCTTTTTTTTTTTTACTTTTATTATTATTATTTTTTATTATTTTTTTTTTCGTACATTGTGTTCACGACTATGACTTCTTTGTAGAAAAAAGATGTTGCAAATTTTTTTCTCACAAATGTTGGTGAAGTTATTAAGATAGAAAGATATTTATTAAAAGAAATTATGCAATTCTAACGTAACCCGGGTCGCCTTTTTTGGACATTTGATAATTTTTTGTTTTGATTATTAGAAATGCTCAATCTTCCTGATGGTTTGTCCTGTAGATAACGGTATTTTTCTGCGACTTACCGACCATTGGTCTTCCTGTCCTGATACTCACGCTTAAAGTGATTTTCTTCAAATCCCTCCATCATTTCAAGCACTTCCGTCGTGCGCGTTTAAAAACTGCATCAAGATGGTTGACGGAGGGTGAGGTTTAATTGCCACGAAGTGGCGACATTAATTCACAGGGGTATCTGTTAAAATGATATACCTTCAAATTCAACAGGAATTATATTAATAGTTAAGCGGTTTATGTACTTAACGTGTGTTTAAATCTGTGTTTTAATCTTATATTCCGTCCCTTTAGTGTGTATATTATATTATATTATATTATATTATATTTAGCTCCACCTCCGGCAATAACTACAATGGAAGCGCCGCCTCCTCTTGGGCCGAGTAAGTTTATTTCATTTATAAATAATTTATTAGTCAATTACAATCAGATGGGTATTATATTCTTTCAAGGCTTCAGGCTTTGTTTTTTAAATCGTTTCAATATTTCTGATTTAATTCGTACGAGATTTTACATTTGTATTGACTAATATTTAAGAGCCGGACTGGAAAGATATTTAAAACTGGACGGAACAGCTGATAAATATATATATATATATATAGGCGCATCAATATAGTTAGGGATCATGAAGAAAAAGAACCAAAAAAATGAAATTCGTGAAAGTTGTTTATCATGAGAATTTGTTCATTAAAAAGACATTTACTTGGAACCTAACATTGAGTGTACAAAAAGTAGATGTAATGTATAAATTAAATCACTTAATTGGAAACAAAACTATTTAACATACTCTACCGGGTGATTTAAATCTCATACAGGAGATGGTGGCAGGTGGAACTAATTTGTCCAGTTTATATCATTTCTACGTAGAAACGTCATTAAATTGCTTTATTTTTAAAGAAAAGCAGAATTTATACAGTTAGATAATTTTACGTAATATACATTTCATTTACATGAAATTCATATTACGTGTAATGGCTTATTAAGGTTGGCTATATATTCCTATAAGGACATTGTGATGGATTGACTGTGCGGTGAAAAGAGACAAAATCACAGTATGATGTATATGAATACTATTAATTTTAACTACAAATAGTGAAAAACGCTTTCGGCCATTACTCGATATTTTGATCACCTTGACGTATAATGCTGATTTAGAGTTGAGCTCCGCCTCTCCCCACCTGTCCACTATAATGGATTTAAGTAAGATCTGTGGATAGAATGGCTTTTTTTGTGAGAACGAAGGTTGCATTTCTTCCAGGAAGATGCACACTAATGCCTCAGAATTTGGAGTTTCAAGAAATTGAAGGAGAAGTAAGCAAAGTTTGGTTCCTAAGACCAAAACAAACGTATGACTGTGGACATCTCATCTTTGACTTTGTCGACTGTGTTTGCCTCGGGGCAAGTAAGTTGTATGAATATGTATTTTAAAAAAGTTATATAAAATACATGTAGCTGAATATTAAAGCGCATCCTTCAAAACAGATCTTTTGTTTAATGAGATTAACAATAAAGAGTTTTCATTGGTATTCATCGGTAGTTTTACTGTATGTACATGTACTTATATAATTAGCCTCGCAATCATAAGGATCGAAATAACTCGATTGGTCAACGGAGGAGATTTTTTCTTCAGCGCTGGATTGTTGACAAATAAACACCAAAAATGTTTCTCAAGTTTTGATGAAAACTTCAGGATAATCATTTCTTTGAGACTGAAAAAGAAGATTTAGATTTTAACTGAAAACAAGCCATCCAATTTTTAAAACAATTTTCATTTGCTTTTCCTTTGAGCAGGACTATGCTTTTTTATCCTCTCGGTGTTAAAATATATGCTGTTTTACTATCCTTTCAGATATGTACCCAATTATTTGGAATTTTTTTCTGCATGTCAACTCGGAGAGTAACAGAATTTTTGGTTCCAAAAATGGCTCTGTGGGTTTGTCTGGTAATGGTTGCATGATATTGGACGGTACTGGTGGGTGCTTTTTATTTATCTGAATAAGATTGAATAAACTATTTAGAAGCTTTTTTTATTTTTTAACAATTTTTATTCGAAAGAAATGGAGGCAAAGCGCTATAAAAGCATTAGATGCTCTCCACAAAATATATATATATATATATATATATATATATATATATATATATATATATATATATATATATATATATAATAACTGCAAAGATTTTAGTATTGGAACACAAAAGTTACCAGAAATAATAAATACAGAAAGAAAGAAAATAAAAGAAAAGGATCGTAACTAAATTACGTATACAACACAACTAAATACAATTAAGATTACATTAACAACAAAGAAAATTATATGAAATCATAAAATGAAGTCAGTTAGGTCAATAAATGAATGGTTGTTTATAAATGAATGCATTTATTTATTTGTTTATTTGTTTGTTTGTTTTTAATACTCTCCATACTGGCAGGTCTTACCGATAACTGCTCTATTTTGTTCATAACTGTCAGACATCTTTGAAATGAGATTGCATATAAATCAGTGAACTGATGTTATCATTCTTTTCTTTTTCATTATAATGAGTGTCTACCCTCTACCAGGGCGACAGATTGATTTTCCACAGATATTCACAGATATTTCTCTAAGGGTGCTTTCCCAGAGATTTAGATAGATCTAGAGATTAAGATTTAGATCGACCTAACTCCCCATGAGTTCAAGCTAAATTGCAGTCAGCCGAGCGGGCACCATAGTTAATTACCCCCTTACAGCTTTTAGTAGGCGGGACAGACGCTTAAGCCGGCCAAGCTGACAGTAATCTAGTGAGACTCCCCACAGGGATAGATCGATCTAAAAATATATGGAAATGGGGTCTAAGTAAATAGACGGTCATTTTGGTCTATATATCTAGAGACATATCTGTGACCATCTATTTATCTAGAGACATTTCAATGAATATCTGTGGAAAATCAATCTGTCGCCCAGGTAGAGGGTTATGAGTCTCTACGGTTTTATATACAAGGCGGACTTCAAATCCCATTCTTCAAAAACATGGGACCTAAGACAAGCTGGATTGTTGGCATTGTCTTCAACAGACCCGTGGATCAGCACTCCACTATTATGTACAGAACTCCTTTCATCTCCATAAACGGTGACGAGGTCTCTGTGTCTGTAGAAGTCAGGGACACGATCACTATGGTCACCGCCACTCTGACTGTCTCAGTTGTCGTACGTTTATTGAGATAATTCATTTCTTGGCTATGTTTATCCAGCTTTTTTGTTAATTTAGATGTGTATTTATGTTCTTTATTTTCGCTGAAGCTTGTCAATTGGCATTTAAGCCACCGTATCAGCAGCATATTGATTGACCGATTCAAAACAATATTTAACTGGTATAAGTTATTCTCTAGACCTGATATTTTGTAGGGAATGTCTGACCGACTTGGTCATGGGTGTGACTATATTTATACACTCTTGCCCAAAATGGTTGGTACACGGAAATTTTGGTATGCATATCGCCCTGTTTCTTTCATTATTATTAATATTATCAAATTAATACTGTATATATTGTTAAATATGTGAAGCTGGATGATTGGTAAAGTCAAGGAGAAACAAACAATGCAAATGTGAAAAAAGCATTAATTTATTTAGGTTTTTTTTTTTTTTCTCATGCCCCCCAAAAGAGTACATTTTTAACATAACAGTACCAAGGGAAAAATTAAACAAAAATTTATACTGTGATTGACAATTAATATGAAATTAGGGGAAATTGTCAAGAAACATCTTCAGAGTTCATTATTAATCTAAATAGCGGGTATGCCCACCCCGAGCTTGGATAATGGCCGCCAGACGGCGTGGCATACTGTGAACTAGAGTAACAGCTTTTTGGAAAGGAATTCTGGTCCATTCATCTTAAAGGGCATCTCGCCGTTCATCTAGTTTTGCAGGGGGAGGGTTTCTCCTCTGAATAGCACAACCAAGTTCGTCCCACATGTGCTCAATTGAGCTATGAAAGTGCGTAGGCTCCCTGGGGAGAGGCTATTAACTGAAAATATTCAGGAAACAATAGCTGGAGGAGGTGGTTCTGTACATGTTTGGGGTGCCATTTGCAGCAGCGGTATTTGCCCATTGTCTCCTTTGGATGAAAAACCTTAACGCTGCCAGATACAGAGACATTCTCCAGCAGAACCTGGAGCCGTTTGAAAGAGGGATATACAGAGACAATTTTAGATTGTAACATGACAACCCAACTCCCCATACAGCCCGCTTAATGCAAACCCAATTGAGCACAGGTGGGTCGAACTTGGTTGTGCTATTCAGAGGAGAAACCCTCCCCCTGCAAATCTAGATGAACGGCGAGATGCCCTTTAAGATGAATGGACCAGAATTCCTTTCCAAAAAGCTGTACCTCTAGTTCACAGTATGCCACGCCGTCTGGCGGCCATTATCCAAGCTCGGTGTGGGCATACCCGCTATTTAGATTAATAATGAACTCTGAAGATGTTTCTTGACAATTTCTCCTAATTTCATATTAATTGCCAATCACAGTATAAATTTATGTTTAATTTTTCCCTTGGTACTGTTATGTAAAAATGTACTCTTGGGGGGGGGGGGGGGGGCATGAGAAAAGAAAACTAAATAAATTAACGCTTTTTTCACATTTGCATTGTTTGTTTCTCCTTGACTTTACCAATCCTCCAGCTTCACATATTTAACAATATAAACAGTATTAATTTGATAATATTAATAATAATGAAAGAAACAGGGCGATATGCATCTCAAAATTTCCGTGTACCAACCATTTTGGGCAAGAGTGTATAAGCTAAGGTCAGGGGTCATTATCTTAGGTCAGGGATCAAAACCGCAGGTCAGAGGTCATTACCTCAGGTCAGATGTCATTAACTTAGGTCAGGGATCGTAGTCGCAGGTCAGGGGTCATAACCTCATAATCTTATTTTATATTTAGTTAATTTGTTTACTTGGTCTTAGTTCGCTCGTGCAGCTGTAAGCACAGTACGCGAATTTGGATAAACTATTTGTAAATTAATTTATAGAAACGTGGGTATTATATACGAAAAGTCATGTACATTACATGTATCAATGCAGGCACCTGGGCCCGGGTATATACTTGTGATAGTGAGATGGTACGGCAACACCTTAACCCTTACCGTATTCGTGGATGGCATTTTGTACCAGGACTCTGTTGAAACCCCAGGTAATATATGGAAGGCCGATAAAAACCTGTTTATCCTGCAAGCAAAAGACGTTATTATAACGTTATCATAGCGTGTATATAACCCAAAAACATTATGGTAACGTTTGTGTTTTTAGGTAGTCAATGTCTGATAATAATAATAATAATAATAATAATAACAATAATAATAATAATAATAATATAATAATAATAAATTTTATTATTTTATTATTATTATTATTATTATTATTATTATTATTATTATTATTGCTGTTTATGATATTATGTTTTTTATTTTCATACATATATTTTTCATTCACGTATGCGTTTTACAAATATTTGTCAACACCGACGACACAATATACATGTATTATTTCAGATAACACTTTTCCATGGGCTATTTTTTTCCCACCCGCAGAGCCTCTGTTCGTTGGGCACGTACCGGAGGGCGTCTCAGGAGAACGTCCCGGAAGTTACGTTGGCGAAGTTTGTTTGGTGAGTAAACTACATGTTGTACAACTACTAGAAAAAAAAACACCCAAGGTTTCGGCTAAGAGTTTTTGGTACCAATATAAATTATGTCCGTGGGAAGGAAATTGTCACCGTTCAGGAGGGTACATGGTGCGCATTTCCTCCTATTCTTTAATCTTAATTTATCTTTTTTCAGCTTTACTTCACCGACAAATGGTTTTCCGACGCTGTTTCTATAAGATCTGATATCCTTTTTTATTACATCGGCCCACCGTTTGGATAACTGGTGGCTATCGATAATGACATCAGATCCCCAGCAAAGCGAACAGAACATCTATTTAAAATAGGACTCAAGTTCCAATGATGATTTTTGACAATCGGATGTAGAACTGGATTCCTGAAAAATAAAGCATGGGATTACTTGACACGTTTCTTGTTGCTAGAAAAAGATGGTTTTACGATGATGATGTCTAAATTTTTGAACGTAATGTTTCCAAAGCGCATCAGACGTAAAATCCTGTGTTAAAAGCAGAGATTGTGAATAAATTTTCAAACAATTCTAATGGTTTATTTATATTGATTAACGTCCTTTTTTCAGTACATGTATGTGCCATGATTTTAGTAAAAGTGATTAAAACGTACATTACGGCCGTTTTGAGTGCATATTTCTCCTTCAATTAAAATATCAAATGTTGAATTCAACTTCCCATCGTCATTTCAACATAGTATCAATAATAAACGTGAACAAAACAGCCAACAATTTAAAGAATATTTAAAAAATATAAATGAAGCTAGCTACATGTATACGGTGCAAAAACGATTTCCTTTTTAAATATGCTTAAATTTTAAAAACCTTTGAAGTCACAGCGGCTTTTTTTTTTAATTCTTATTTTTATGGATAAAGGGATATTTTGACACCCGTCGTAGATTATAAAAATATATATGGCGTCGATTTGTAATTAGTCTCTGGTACGATCGACTATCGGTGCACATCAGCTCCGAGATTGTGTCGCTAGATGGCGTGGAAGCACTTTCAGTCCCACTGCCATCTCGCGTAATCTCGCTCGCGGTTTCATGCCATCGGCCGTAAAAACACGTTGCTAACTCTAAGCTTACTAAGCGCATGTTTTATAATGTGATTTCGTGACAACAAGAAGAACACGTTTTTTCTCGTCCCAATTTTATTACCACATATATTTCTAGCCAAATTATGTTTCTGCACTATTTCATAAAAAATCATGTGTGTATGTGTGTGTGTGTGTGTGTGTATGTGTGCATGCGTGTGTATGTGTTTTCCTCTCAAATAAAAGTACACAATGCTAAACTGACATTCTGCATATCTATAAACAATATGATTTTATTTGTCGGACGCCTCACTACGGAAACATGAATATATGTATAAGGGTAGTGAGGCGAGGACGTACATTTCACATATCCTATGTGACTAAATCTTCTCGAAAGTTTCAATTAGTGAAGGTATAAATAAGCACTTCACTTCAGTGCACTTCAAAAAACTATATATTGGAAAGGTAAGGCAGTGCTTGATACAAATGACAGGTATACTTCGGGTTCACAGCTGAAAGGTAAGGAAAAGGATTTTTTTTTTTAACAAAATAAGTTTATTCGAAAGAAATGGAGTCAAACGGAGGAAAAGTGCTAAAAGCATTAAATACTCTCCACAAAATTAAATAAGTAAATAAATAAAACAAAGGGATACGTATATACAACAGAATAAATGTATAACTTCAAATATTTCAGTATAGAGCACAACAGTTACCAGAAATAATTAAGTATAGAAAGAAAGAGAACAAGAGGAAGAAAAAAAGGATCGTAACTAGTTTACGTATACAACATTGTTGTAAGGAAAAGTTATACCTGAACACTTGAGGCCTCGATCAGAAGTTTAACACATGGATTTTTTTCCTTTTTTTTCTTTTCATTTATAAGACTTTTGTATTAAAGATATGGAGAGTTGGAGAGAGGGGTGTAAGTAGTTTCTGTCCTCTACTGATTAAGATATTAGGATATAAGATTTTCGAGGTGATCCATAAATTAAATGATTTTAATAAGGTGCTCTGTAGGAGATCTTTTGCTGCTTTGTAAGTAACTTTTTTAGAAAGATCTGGATTTTTTTCTAATTTCAGTGAAGCTAAAACGCTTTTAAATGAAGAAAGTGTTTTTGTTTTCAGTTCACAATGAAGGTCATACTCGTGTGCCTAGCTCTCCAAGGCGCTACCTACGCTGATCATTTATCGAGAAGTAAATTTTACAAAAACATTAAATAGCTAAATCGATGTTTGAAAGCAGATTTACGGGTATATTTTGGGTGGAAGTGCTTAATTAAGGCACTTAATGTTTGATCACGAAAATAATTTGTTCACGATTTTCATCATTACCAACATTTTTTTAATACCGATAACTCATTATAAAAACCATACTTTGTTTTTCTAGACGAAGTTGAGAGACGATGCCTAGTTGACAAACCGGATCGTGTCACAAGGTGTCGCCTACGTCGCCGACATTGACTGCGCCTTTTACTGGCAGTGTGACTTCACCCACACCCTACTGAAAATTTTCACTCTAAAACAATGCCCATCGGAACGTTATGGACCTCCGTCGCGAGCGGATCCCCCCTCCCTGTACCGGGCCAGGAACCTGTGGTTTGTATAAATTGCGAGCTACAGCCCTATCCTCAATGTCGATACAAATACCTCTCCTTCGGGATTGAAACTTTCATTTTGTAGGTGTTAGTTTTTAAGTATTATCATTTATCTGTTGATGTTTTAGGTATATTAAGTTTATTCTAATGGATGTCGTGAGAGGATAATTATACAGATTTCGTCTAATCTTTTAAAAGACTTATTTCAAAGTATCAGACTGATATTCGCGACCATATACATTGAAAACGTGTTTGGCTATTACCCAACAATTTCATCACTCTCACGTATGATCCCGGTGCCGTTTTGGCGGGAACATGTGCAGTTCTGCCCCCTGTCGGTCTGACTTTAGCGTTATTTATGATTGGTACATAGATTTAATCCTTTTGTTTAAACGATAGTTCCATGTTTTCTAGAAATTTGTATATGCATCCTCAGCGTTTGAAGTTACAAGAAATCCTAGGTGAAGTTAGCAAATTTTGGTTTTGGGAAGCGAATGAAACCTGACTGTGGACATCTTAAATTTAGTTTTGAACCAAATGTATGCCGTTGCATCGACGCAATTAAGTTATATGGATATAAATTTTGACGAGTTCATTCAATCACAACTTTTTGTTCATGAGTTCAGAAACAACAAAGGATCATGTCTGATTTTCATTTTTACTAAAGATTCAAAATCACAAATGTCTTTTAACTTCTGCACGCGAAGGAGACTGTTGTTATCGGCGTAGTATCATGGAAGTGGCATTTCCAGTTTTTCACAAATTTCGATGAAATATTCAAGTTAGTCTCCTAATATTTGAGAATATTCCTTATTATCTAGCATTGGAAATATCGCCCTTGAATTGTTTTCTTGTTTAATTTGAAATAAACTCTGCGTCACTCTCGCTGTTGTTCGGGTATTTGAAGTTTTGGTGATGGTATTAGTGTTGTTATAATATGTTATTTCTACTATCATTTCAGCTGAGTTCCCATTTTGGTGGCCTTTTGATAGGAATTTGAATTCGTACAAAAACAGAGCCTACGCCGCAAACGAACCAGTGGGCACAGTAGGTTTATCGGCAGTAGAACCAGGATGCGCCGAGTTTAATGGAACAGGTAAGGGGGTGTCTTCTCTGTTTATTTATCTAGACATGATTTTGTTATTCAAGTAATAAGGTAGTTGGTTTAATTATTAACTTATCCATTTTTATCTATTAATTCTATTTATTACTTCAAAATACTTCCTGAATGATCTTATCCATAATGGTTTTATTTTGTTCGTAAGTGTAGCTCGCAGGGCCACAGAAAAACGAGGCAAATGACAACGGGCATATTCCTTTACTTGAGCTTTATTTGAAATAGTCTCAGCCTGAAACAGCCGTGTAACTAAAACAAAGAAAATACAATTGTCACTTATTCGTCTAGCTGGTATCACCACTTACTTCTCACATAACATCTGAGTTTATGAATTACAATTAGCAACCTGGTTATTAATTAATAAAAAATATATAATATAAACAAAGAAATACTGGTTATATACATTATGTACAAATTTGGCATAAACATCTTACCATTATGCCTCTACTGGGTAAATACATAAATAATGCCACTGCATTTTTGCACCTCTGCACTCCTCTGCAGCACATTCTCCTGGGTGACACAACTAGGACTGTTCACTTATGCGAATGGGGTTCTTTTATTAAAGATATGTGATAGACGTGCTTGCTCTAGTCCGGTTGCTTAGGGCAAAAAAATGGCCAAATCGTGACACGAAGGATAAAAGCACCANCATACTTGTGATAGTGAGATGGTACGGCAACACCTTAACCCTTACCGTATTCGTGGATGGCATTTTGTACCAAGACTCTGTTGAAACCCCAGGTAATATATGGAAGGCCGATAAAAACCTGTTTATCCTGCAAGCAAAAGACGTTATTATAACGTTATCAAAGCGTGTATATAACCCAAAAACATTATGGTAACGTTTGTGTTTTTAGGTAGTCAATGTCTGATAATAATAATAATAATAATAATAATAATAATAATAATAAATTTTATTTTATTATTATTATTATTATTATTATTATTATTATTATTATTATTATTGCTGTTTATGATCGTGTTTTTTTTTTTTTTTTTTTTTTTTTTTTTTTATTTTTTTTTTTTTTTTTTTTTTTTTTTTTTTTTTGTTCATGTATGCGGTTTACAAATATTTATCAACACCGACGATACAATATATATATTTTTTAGATGACACTTTTCCATGGGCTATTATTTTCCCACCCGCAGAACCTCTGTTTGTGGGGCACGTACCAAGAAGCTTTGTTGGCGAAATTTGTTTGGTGAGTACACTACAGCTACTAGGATTTAGCTAAGGGGTTTTCGTCCACACGGATATAAACTATTTCCGTGGGATGGAAATGTTCACAGTTCAGGAGGGTACACGTGCTTGTGCGCATTTCCTCCTATTCTTTAATCTTAATTTATCTATTTTCAGCTTTACTTCACCGACAAATGGTTTTCCGGCGCTGTTTCTATAAGATCCGATATCCTCCTTTATTACATCGGCCCACCGTTTGGATAAGTATTGACTATCGATAATGATATCAGACCCCCAGCAAAGCGAGAAACGGCGACAACCTCGTCCTGCGAACAGAACATCTATTTAGAACAGCTAGGACTCATAAGTTCCAATGATGATTTTTGGCAATCGGATGTAGAACTGGATTCCTAAAAAATAAAGCATGGGCTTACTTGGCACGTTTCTTGTTGCTGGAAAAATTTTCTTTTACGAAGACGATGTCTAAATTTTTGACGTAATTTTTCCATAGTGCATCAGACGTAAAATCCTGTTTTAAAAGCAGGGATTGCGAATAAACTTTAAAAGAATTTCAGATGGTTTATTTGTTTTGAATTACATATTTTTTCAGTACATGAATGTGTGTGTGAGAGAGAAAGAGGGAGAAAGTGAGGGAGCGATTAAGTGCCATGATTTTAAGTAAAAGTGATAAAAACGTACATTAAGGCCGTTTTGAGTACACATTTCTCATCCAATTAAAATATCAAATGTTTTATTCAACTTCCCATCGTCATTCCATGGTATCTATAATAAACGTAAACAAAACAGTCAACAAATTAAAAAAAAACGATTACCTTTATTGAATATGCTAAAACTTTGAAAACGTTTGAGGTCACAACGGCTTTTTTTTTTCATTAAATCACGCTAACATGTATGCAAATGTTACATATACATGAATTTATATATTTTAAAGCATCCAAAATGAAGTCGATAATGTTATTCTTCTTAGAATAATATTCTGATTCTTACTTATATGGAAAAAGGGATATTTTTTATAAATAACACCCGTCGTAGATTATAAAAATATATACTGTATATGGCGTCGATTTGCCATTAGTCTCTGGTACGATCGACTATCGGTGCACATCAGCTCCGAGATTGTGTCGCTAGATGGCGTGGAAGCACTTTCAGTCCCACTGCCATCTCGCGTAATCTCGCTCGCGGTTTCATGCCATCGGCCGTAAAACACGTTGCTAACTCTAAGCTTACTAAGCGCATGTTTTATAATGTGATTTCGTGACAACAAGAAGAACACGTTTTTTCTCGTCCCAATTTTATTACCACATATATTTCTAGCCAAATTATGTTTCTGCACTATTTCATAAAAAATCATGTGTGTGTGTGTGTGTGTATGTGTGCATGCGTGTGTATGTGTTTTCCTCTCAAATAAAAGTACACAATGCTAAACTGACATTCTGCATATCTATAAACAATATGATTTTATTTGTCGGACGCCTCACTACGGAAACATGAATATATAAGGGTAGTGAGGTGAGGACGTACATTCCACACATCCTATGTGACTAAATCTTCTCGAAAGTTTCAATTAGTGAAGGTATAAATAAGCACTTCACTTCAGTGCACTTCAAAAAACTATATATTGGAAAGGTAAGGCAGTGCTTGATACAAATGACAGGTATACTTCGGGTTCACAGCTGAAAGGTAAGGAATAGGATTTTTTTAACAAAATAAGTTTATTCGAAAGAAATGGAGGCAAATGGAGTAAAAGTGCTAAAAACATTAAATACTCTCCACAAAATTAAATAAGTAAATAAATAAAACAAAGGGATACGTATATACAACAGAATAAATGTATAACTTCAAATATTTCAGTATAGAGCACAAAAGTTACCAGAAATAATTAAGTATAGAAAGAAAGAGAATAAGAGGAAGAAAAAAAGGATCGTAACTAGTTTACGTATACAACATTGTTGTAAGGAATAGTTATACCTGAACACTTGAGGCCTCGATCAGAAGTTTAACACATGGATTTTTTTCCTTTTTTTTTTTTTTCTTTTCAAATTTTAATCTTATTTATAAGACTTTTGTATTAAAAATTTTGGAGAGTTGGAGAGAGGGGTGTAAGTAGTTCCTGTCCTCTACTGAATAACATAGTAGGATATAAGATTTTCGAGGTGATCCATAAATTAAATGATTTTAATAAGGTGCTCTGTAGGAGATCTTTTGCTGCTTTGTAAGTAACTTTTTAGAAAGATCTGGATTTTTTTCTAATTTCAGTGAAGCTTTTAAACGCTTTTAAATGAAGAAAGTGTTTTTGTTTTCAGTTCACAATGAAGGTCATACTCGTGTGCCTAGCTCTCCAAGGCGCTACCTACGCTGTTCATTTATCGAGGAGTAAATTTTACAAAAACATTAAATAGCTAAATCGATGTTTGAAAGCAGATTTACGGGTATATTTTGGTTGGAAGTGCTTAATTAAGGCACTTAATGTTTGATCACGAAAATAATTTGTTCACGATTTTCATCATTACCAACATTTTTTTAAGACCGATAAATCATTATAAAAACCATACTTTGTTTTTCTAGACGAGGTTGAGAGACGATGCATTGTTGACAAACCGGATCGTGTCACAAGGTATCGCCTACGTCGCCGACATTGACTGCGCCTTTTACTGACAGTGTGACTTCACCCACACCCTACTGAAAAATTTCATTCTAAAACAATGCCCCATCGGAACGTTATGGACCTCCGTCGCGAGCGGATCCCCCCTCCCTGTACCGGGCCAGGAACCTGTGGTTTGTATAAACTGCGAGCAACAGCCCTATCCTCAATGTCAATACAAATACCTCTCCTTCGGGATTGAACTTTCATTTTGTAGGTGTTAGTTTTTAAGTATTATCATTTATCTGTTGATGTTTTAGGTATATTAAGTTTAGTCTAATGGATGTCGTGAGAGGATAATTATACAGATTTCGTCTAATCTTTTAAAAGACTTATTTCAAAGTATCAGACTGATATTCGAGACCATATACATTGAAAACGTGTTTGGCTATTACCCAACAATTTCTTCACTCTCACGTATGATCCCGGTGCCGTCTTGGCGGGAACATGTGCAGGTCTGCCCCCTGTCGGTCTGACTTTAGCGTTATTTATGATTGGTACATAGATTTAATCCTTTTGTTTAAACGATAGTTCCATGTTTTCTAGAAATTTGTATTATGCATCCTCAGCGTTTGAAGTTACAAGAAATCCTAGGTGAAGTTAGCAAATTTTGGTTTTGGGAAGCGAATGAAACCTATGACCTATAAATTTTGACGAGTTCATTCAATCACAACTTTTTGTTCATGAGTTCAGAAACAACAAAGGATCATGTTTGATTTTAATTTTTACTAAAGATTCAAAATCACAAATGTCTTTTAACTTCTGCACACGAAGGAGACTGTTGTTATCGGCGTAGTATCATGGAAGTGGCATTTCCAGTTTTTCACAAATTTCGATGAAATATTCGAGTTAGTCTCCTAATATTTGAGAATAGTCCTTATTATCTTGCATTGGAAATATCGCACTTGAATTGTTTTCTTGTTTAATTTGAAATAAACTCTGCGTCACTCTCGCTGTTGTTCGGGTATTTGAAGTTTTGGTGATGGTATTTGTGTTGTTATAATATGTTATTTCTACTATCATTTCAGCTGAGTTCCCATTTTGGTGGCCTTTTGATAGGAATTTGAATTCGTACAAAAACAGAGCCTACGCCGCAAACGAACCAGTGGGCACAGTAGGTTTATCGGCAGTAGAACCAGGATGCGCCGAGTTCAATGGAACAGGTAAGGGGGTGTCTTCTCTGTTTATTTATCTAGACATGATTTTGTTATTCAAATAATAAGGTACACACACTGGACAATAGAAGTGTCACCCCTACTGAGCCAATACTAGGGGGGATATAAATGACTGTGGAATGATATGCTTGCGGTATCATTTTATTAACATCAAATTTCACAAAAAATCACAAAATGAGAACAAAATATACATTCTACCAAAATATGCAGTTTCAAGTCCAAAATTAGTACTTAGTGGCTTAGCCACGTGACCTAATTATAGGTGCCAGTCTACGATCGAGGCAAGGATTAATATAATTGTCTGATGTGTTCAGGGCTTATGCTGGCCCAAGCATGAAACACTGAATATAACAGAGTTTCTCTGCTGGTTAGACGGGCATTTGTCAAAAGTTTTGACATATCATTCCACACATTTTCTATTATGTTTGCATCTGGATTCTGGGCAGGCCACATCACCTTGCGAATGTCCTGTTGGTCAAACCAATCATCAACTGCTCTGGGCCTGTGACAAGGAGCATTGTCATCCTGGTGAAGAAATGGATATTTCCTGTCACCAAACATGTTAGTAATAGATGGTAGCAAGCCTGACTCCAAAACATCGATATATTTCTAGTGATTCATGTTTCGATCAACCACTATCAATTCGCCCACGCCATGGATGCTGATGCAGCCCCACACCATGATGAATATGCTGCTCCGGGTTCGAAAATTCAGTGTATGTGGTTCAAATACTTTACCAGCAGTTCGCCAGCATCGTACCCGTCTGTCATCAGAGGTCAGACCAAAGCGACACTCATCAGAAAAAAAATATATATAGGACCAATTGTCATGGACTGTCCAGTTCCAGATCCTGTTGACCCTAGTTCACTCTACGTTGCCTGTTTTGTAACGATATAAGAGGTTTCAGTCTTACTACCCTGCTGTACACTCTATGAGCATGTAACCGACGCCTAGCAATTTTTCACAGACACATTCTTATGTGTGAAATTGTTCCACTGTGTTGTCAACTGACAAGAAGTGTCGAACTTTGACAACCTGGACATCAAAATAAGTCGTCGGTCTTCACGGCCAGTAGTTTTTCTTGGACGACCCATCAGAGGCAATTTGTCTCTTGATCCAGTGTTTCTATACCGAGACCAGACCCTCTGCACGGTTCTGACTGAACAATTCAATTGTATCGATATTCTTACATTGCTTATTTTCCGCCACTTCAGGTTAATAACTTCCAACTATAACCGTTATATAATTCCCTGTATCTTGCCATATTGGAGGAAGACAGGAATAACATTTGCTGTACATGTACAAGACCAACAATACTATTCCATGGTATAGCGGTTTTATACTCATTAGTCACATTATAAGAAGACCAGGCATTATAAGTAGCCAAGATCTGCCTACTTTTATTACTGTGAGTTAGGGGGTGACACCTTTATTGTCCAGTGTGAGTATAGTTGGTTTAACTATTAACTTATCCATTTTTATCTATTGATTATATTTATTAATTCAAAATACATCCTGAATAATCTTATCCATAATGGTTTTATTTTGTTCGTAAGTGTAGCTCGCAGGGGCCACAGAAAAACGAGGCAAATGACAACGGGCATATTCCTTTACTTGAGCTTTGTTTGAAATAGTCTCAGCTTGAAACAGCCGTGTAACTAAAACAAAGAAAATACAATTGTCACTTATTTGTCTAGCTGGTATCACCACTTACTTCTCACATAACATCTGAGTTTATGAATTACAATTAGCAACCTGGTTATTAATTAATAAAAATATATAATATCAACAAAGAAATACTGGTTATATAAATTATGTACAAATTTGGCATAAACATCTTACCATTATGCCTCTACTGGGTAAATACATAAATAATGCCACTGCATTTTTGCACCTCTGCACTCCTCTGCAGCACATTCTCCTGGGTGACACAACTAGGAGTGTTCACTTATGCGAATGGGGTTCTTTTATTAAAGATATGTGATAGACGTGCTTGCTCAGCATATCTGATGCAATAAACCATAAACTAAGTTTGATACAATCATTTTTGTTCTTACAGTAAGATTAAATAACCTTTGCATTTATTTTCGATGCAATTAATACTACATTTTGGTCCTTTATTTTCAAGGCGGACTTTAAATCCCATACTTTCAAAACATGCGTCCAAGGACAAGCTGGGTAACTGCTGTTGTCCTCAATAGACCCGTGCCCCAGAATGCCGTTATTTTTTACGAGTGCAATACCATCTTCTTAAATGGTGTCGTAGTCACGGCGTCTGTAGTAGTCTAGTACCCATTGGGCGTGAAGCAAACTCTGACTGTCTCAGCCACCGTACGTTTATTCCAATATTTCATTTATTGGATTGTGTTAAATATTTTTGCTGTTCCTTTGTTAGTTTGATTTTTCAATTTGCAAAGAAGTGATTTATGTAACAATAGCAATATTTTAACTGTTATGGAGGCACGATATTTCCTCGACAGCATTTTTCCGATTTGATCAAGGGTGGGACCATATAAACTCAGGTAAGGTGTCATCACCTCAGGTCAAGGGTCATAACCTTAGGTCAAGGGTCATTTTAGGTCAGGGGTCATAACATCAGGATAGGGGCCATAATCTAAGCTCAGGGATCATAACTTTGTTGGGAGTACATCTATTATCTTATGAATTTAGTTTATCAATATATTTAGTATTTGGTGGCGCATTTTACTTTCGTGCAGTATGATCATTCTCAAAAGATTGTGTGCACGCACGGACTGAACAATAAATAAGTAGGCTAATAAATTTCTTTAGTAAATCACTGATTTAATGACTAATAGAAAACTGTGCATTAGAACGAAGTGTATTATTGCAGACAGCCGGGGCTGGATATGCGCTCGTGATCTTGCGATGGGACGGTAAGATTTTAATCGTCACTACTGGACGATGGTATTGAGGACGGGGACTCTGTTCAAGTACAGGAGGGTAAGCAAGGTTTAGCCACTGAGTTATATCTTTAATGTAATTTTTAGTGTTATTAGTGCAACGTAAAACATTGCAACTCCGGCAACCGCCGCCACCACCACCAGGACTCAAGATCTGAGATTATACTATCTGCAAAACCAGAAATGATTTTAGAAACCTATTCACTGAATTCCACACCTAAATATCTTACTTTTTGAGACTTCATCTCTGAATTCGTGGCCTCTATGTCACCATCCCCTCCTCCCCCCCCCAAAAAAAATAACTAACTGCAAGCAAACATACAAATCTTGCAGTGATCAATAATAATTATTATTATTATCATTATTATTATTATTATTCATTTTTATTTAAATCTGTGTTTGTATGCTGCTTAAAAAGCCTCCTATAACAGGACTTACGTTCCAACGTGTTATTTCAGATCCAGACAACGATTTTATATGGTCTGTCGTTTGTTTACCACAACAACCTCTAACAAGCCAGGTCTCCCAGGAAGCTATTCTGGTAACATTTGTCTGGTGAGTATACGTTGACCATTAAGTCACTTAAGGACCCAAGTCTTTGCTAAGGAAGAGGGGAGGAGAACAGGAGCACACAGATCAAAATTATCCCCAGGTGAAGCAAGTAAAAAAAGAGGGGCAATTTATTGGTGGGGAATAAAATGTGTTTCATTAAAAACCATTATGGGTCATTTTCTGACCTGAAAGTAAAAACAGTTAAGATAAACTTTATCATGCAAATTCAGTGAAAAATTGAATGCATGTGTATCTTGAAACTATTAATTACACTGATTCCAACAGCGATGACATTTCTCAATACGCAGCCGGCAAGGCTTTTGATAATTGATTTACTAATTGGTTTTGCTTGTTTTGCTGTTATCTGCTGTTATCAATTTATTTTCCGTCATATATTTTATCTAAATAGCTTCATTTTTTAAAACTAGGATAGAATGGAAGCAACACACACACACACACACACACACACATATTGAAAGTAAAGGTGTTTTCCTGTACGAGAATATGTATATATGATAAAAAGGAATAAAAACAGCAGTTATTTACCCCGACCGGTTTCATCGCATCTTCAGGGGGTTTGTTCATTTTAATATATATATATATATATATATATATAATGTTCTTAAATATAAAGTATTGGCATCTCTTAGCAGCGGCCTTGTACCACTGAACTATCTCTTAACCACAAATTATTCGTGACTTCCCCGCCTAGCTTTCTCAAGTGCTGGCCATGTCGTCTTAGGTAATGAATGAGGGCAATGATCTACGAATTTCAGGTGAAAATAAATCTTACCCGGTCATTGGGCCCTAAAGAAATTCTGGGAAAATAATCATCATTAGTACCTCCAGGGTTCTGCAGAAAATGAGTACGGTTAGATTACAAGTATATCAAAATAACGCTTCGTATTAAAATTGCATTATTTCACAAACGAATAAATAGGCAGCACCGCCCCTTTATATAAATGACCCCAAATAAGGCACCAGAACGCAATCTACTAATTTGTTTGCATTTTTATATGGAGACGATAGGGAATTATTTTGGGTCGCATGCACGTATTAAAGAAAGCAGCCTTGTCAATGCTGTAGACACATCAGACAAATTTTCAAAATAAATTGGAACTGTAACTTGAATAGATAGATAGATAGATAGATAGATAATAGAGTTTTATCTTAATGAGACGTGACTTGTGGTTTAAAAATGAAAATAACTTTAACTTTGATAAAAGTAACTCTTAACACTATCATTTATGATTCAGAATATAAATAGTCTATTCAATGATAAAATATTGAAAAAAAAACACTTGTTTTTCTTCATCCGTTTATCATTTATTTGTTAATCTTCACTATGGTGGAGGTGGCAAAGGTAACAGGTGAGATTAATGGACAATAGCAAAGTTATAGAATGTAAATGTGACCACTTATTATTGGCTAATTCATCCATTTTCATCACGTCTCCCCATTACTGTTGCAATTAATTCTAATGCTTGAATACTTCACATACATCTTGGAACACCTTCGTCATTCAATACAATAGTTGACAAGTGGCCAGTTAGTACATTCATTGTCACATCCCGCAATAAAGTATGTCGTCTTATTCATTTCAAGTTATTGTTATGGATCCCTTTTCTTATTCCTCATTATCTCCGGTAACTATGATTCATGGGTGTAATTCATAAGCGAGTTATGGGAGGAATAAGAGCTTGAAAACTGAAGTTATTAAAGACGTATTTCAGTGCTCTGCCCCCTTCAAAGTACATAGGCTGAAAATGAAATGACCCTCCACGCAGTTTTAAATAAAATACTGAATCTCCTTGACAACCAGCGTCCAATGAGATATCTACTGACGTCACAAAGTGAATGTTCGCCATACATTTTCTGTCCACTCGAAAGTGAACTGGTGTGGCAGGAATAAAAGAAGCTGACACCCTTTGCCGATTGATAGAGGAGACCACAGGTGCGAGGTAGGTTATAATTTTTGTCTATCCAAATCAAAATCCGCGTGATTAGAGATGTAATTCAGCTGGGATGGCTCTATTTTGGATTTACATTTAGAGGGGATGTACAATACTGCGTACAATTAATCATGCATTAAAACGATTATAATGATAATCAATGAATTCAATTTTCAGTTTAAATCTATTGGGGTTAGTACGAATATACTGTATAACGCTATCTCCCTCTCTCTCTCTCTTTCCTGTAAATTATTTTTCTTTTTACCCCTTCTGACTTATATTCCTTGTGACATTTTTCTTACATTTATCAAATGTTTAAGACGGAAATCTTGATGTAACATTTTACAGGATATTTTCTGTCAACGTGTAGGATTATTTTAAATTTCATTTAATCGTACTGTATGAAACAGTATTAAGTATACAGAAAGCCGTTTTTATCATAAAAACTTATCTCCAGACTCACATTACCACCTTACCATTCACTATGATTCATTATCACTATTGAATTTGCCTATAAATTAATTTGGCTTTTACAGATATTTAAATTAAGAAACGCTGAAAATTCTATTTTATTATATCTGCACTAAGAAATTCCTGTTAAAATTAAACAGTCTGTATTTGCTAGTTTTTAGTTTGATACCTTTAGTTTATAAAGTTTATATTATACGTAACGCTGAGACGAACGTCGCATGAATTAAATCATGATTACCATGATTATTATCATGACACTTGTAACAACGTATTACAGATCAGGATGAGACTTATACTTTTGTGTCTGGCGCTGGTCTGTGGGACCTATGGGGCTAACTTGTCGAGGGGTAAGTTTTATTGAACCAGTAATTGTCCATAGCCATGCGTCTTTTTTCTTTAAGTATTTCAAATGACTGGAGAAAAAAGTTCCCATTAAAATGGCAGACGATGTAGGGACCTAGCATTCGAAGACAAATCATAAATAGGAATTGTTATAAAATCTTTTAAAAAATAATATGATCACCAATTCTTTTTAATTTCCTTGACGTTCAGTTTTGAGAACTTCAGTCTCGAAGAACTAATTTATATGATCATATGTCACTAGTATATTATGAAGTTCTTTGAAAATGTAAGTTAAACATAAACAATACCCTGTAGATTTATGCATATCGTGTCAATTCCGTAAGTGGTTATATAAGCCACACGCTACCGGAAGATTGCATGGTCACACACAGTAGAAGTTAACGAATGCGTCTTGTATGTTGTTTGAATTGACTACACAGTAAATTATAGATCTTTTTAATTATAGACTTTTCGTGTTATTTTTTCTTTTTTCACTTAGAGGAAGCCAAGGCACGGTGTCTAATTGACAAGCCTACTGTGACGCAAGGTGTCGCCTACGTCGCCGACGAAGACTGCGCCTATTTCTGGCAGTGTGACTTTGCTTATGGGTATCTGAAAAATGTCACCCTTCTTCAGTGTCCCATTGGAACGATGTGGGCGTCTGTTGCTGACCCGGCAAACCCCCCTCCCCCGGGCCAAGAGGCTGTGATCTGCCTCCTCTGTGAGATACACCCTCTCCAGAAGTGCATGGAGCAGCACCCCATTCCGTCCCCGCAGTGCCCAAACCGTGAGTACCACATCCTTCTAGCTAGCACGCAGAATAAATAAATAAATAAATAAATAAATAAATAAATAAATAAAGGAATGAATAAAGGAATAAAACAGTTAACAGAATAATTATTTAGGGAAATTGTACGAATATGTCATTTGATTAGAGATATCGAAAAATTAAAACTATAAACAAAATTACATTAATTGTGTATCTTCATTAATATATGCATGAATTATTGAAGCTGTATATATAAATGTACAGCTGATATCTAGTTATATCCTGAATATTTTTAGCAAGGAAAGCTATTATAAAATACATATTTGGGGTATTTTTTCAACCTTTCGTGGAAATATATAGACATTTAAATTGACTGATTGATCAGATTAATAAACGAATTTAACTCATACCTAATAAAATAGATAACTATATGTTAATGATATTAAGTGACTTTACCTTTACCTGAAATGAACTGAATATATATTTTGAACTAAGATAAATTTACTTTACATTCTCAAGGTTTGTTTAGTACAAGTCATTTAAGAACAAATTACTTTTTTTGTATTTTGAGAAAAGCCTTGCATTGTACTTATATTAATTTGAACTGCATCCTGTTTAATTGTTTTACATTTATCTTAGCTCCACCCCCGAAATCCACTACGCCTGAGCCAAGACCACCCCTTGGAGATAGTAAGTTTCTATTAGATTGTATTCGACCGTTTTTATTCCATCAGTATGTTTACAAAAATTGAAAAATGCATGTATCAATATATAGTGGGTTTATAGTTAATTAGGTACGAAGTTTTTGTTTAATGGGAATATTAGGTATATCTCATGCAAATACATAGATTTGGCCAAGTGCAATCTTTGAGGTTTTAGGGTATTTACTTTTACTTCGTAACTTGTTAAAATGTTTCTAAGAAAAAAAATGTACTTCTTCTCTACCAGAATGCACTGATTCACGTGTACGCACAAAAGGAGAACAAAAACACAAAGCCAAACCAAACACATGTTATCCAAGTGATAGGTAAAATCCATATGCATCTAATTTTTCACTATGACCGAAAAGTTCGAAACAAATATATAAAGAAATAAGGTTTTAAAATGATCGAAGTATTTGTGTAGTGCGATTAATTCAATTAATCACCATTATTTCAGAATACTGTGAAATCAACGGGCATCAGTTTCAGGAAATTTTAGGAGAGACCAGAAAGGTGTGGTACCTGAATTCAAATGGGACAAAGGATTGTGCAACATTGGTTTTTAACTTCAAACCAGACGTGTGCGCATGCGTCGGGGAACGTAAGTTTTTCAGATAACATAATGTACCGGTTATTTTGTTATTCAGACTACTTTTATGTATTAGCAAACAAAAAAAAACGATTCTTCAATTTGCTTTTATTTCCCTGTTTCGTTTATTTATTTATTAATTTATATCACTATTTATTTATTTATTTTTTTATATATTTATTTATTTAGTGAGTTAGTGAATTAGTTAGTTATTGCTCGATCACAATTATTTTACCTAAGTGAAAAAACCTTGTTTTAGAGCTGAATTTATCGAAAAACAGCCTTTTACGTAGTCAATCATATTAACTAATTGTGAAAATTACAGGTGAGTATCCAATGTGGTGGTCGTTCACCGAGAACATGAACGCATTCGGTAACAGAGCGTTCGCTGGCGTGGAGCCCGAGGACTCGGTTGTTCTCTCGTCGACTCCAGGCTGCGCAAACTTTTCTGGTGATGGTGAGAAAAAGTTTAAGTTGCGATGATTTGTTCACCCTTTTTTATCTGCATGTACATGTATATGCATAAGAAACATGTGTGCAATGATACGTTCATATCTTTTTTTTTTTTTTTTTTTTTTATGAAGCCAAACGCATTTAGAAAAAGTAGGTAATATTTATGGGGAATTATTTTATAAGAAAATGTACTTTATTTATTTTTAATTAATTAATTGATTTATTAATTTTTGTTAGAAAGATACTCGTATCATAGGAATTTGTGTATCAATTATATGTTTAAAATATATACACACTGTATGTATATATGTATTTTTTTTTTTTTTTAATTTTCAAGGCGGACTTCAAATTCCTTTTTTCAAGAACATGGGTCCAAAACAAAACTGGAATGTGGCCGTTGTGTTCAGTAGGACCCAGGACCAGCAGGCTGTCATTGTACACCGGACACCAGGGATTTATATAGACGGGGATGACATCATTGTATCTGTTGACGTCATGGATTACTACGGCAACACGCAGTCAGTGGTCGTGGTAGTCAATGTAAGTGTTCTGGCGCGCGTGGGCGTGTTTGCGTGAGTGTTAATCCTTTAAGAAATGAATAAATGTACAGTGTATTTATACGAAGGTTTAAATCTTACGATTTGAAAAGAATTCATGAATAAGTATATTATAAGAGAAATACAAACGACAGACAAAATGGTTTTGTGCTCATGCAGGTGCCCACAGGACCGGGCTTTCTAGGTTTGACCATGACGTGGAATGGGCGTGATCTTGACGTCACTGTTTACACACAAAGTGGCGGAGTGTTCCCAGACATCAGTCTGTCATAGGTGAGACTGGTTCGTCCGAGTTAAAAAAGTTTAATAGTCGTCATAAAACAATTTTTGATTTTGTTAATGCATGAAAATTTTAATAAAAATTTATAAACTTCATGAATACCATTCACTGTTTATTCATTTAGATATTGTTGATTATCCACAGATTCATCCGTTTTATCATATATACCCCAGGCAGACAGACCAGCATCTGCTGTTGAAATCTGAGTCCACGTATCATTCCATGATTTACTTATTGTTACAGACCCCAATGTAGAGAACCTATGGGCCATATACTATCCTCCTCAGGAACCCTTGTTCGTAGGTCACGTTCCGAATCCTCCGTACGTCTCCCCAGCCCCCAGCTATGTAGGACAGATATGCTTCGTAAGTATGCAAATTATATATATATATATGGTTGGGGGGGGAGGGGGGTTAAAGAGGATGGAATAACTGAAGTGGGTAACGATGGGGTAGGGCGGTTAGATAAGAGAGGGTGAAGGTACCGGTAGGTTAGGTGGTGTGGAAGCAGTCGGGATGGAGCGTACTTGAATGGCTTAATGTGGGCGGAGGCGATTGGAGGGGTAAGGTGGGTTAGGGGTCGTACTGAGTGGGGTGGGGTGGGTAGTAGTACCAAGCCCATAGGCAAGGGGGTTGGGTGGGTTCGAAAGAACCCCTTTTTTTCGCGGGGAAAATGTCCTGGTTAAATTTGATATAGGTAAACTAAGGTTTCATGACAAATGGTCCATTTTTTTTTTCAAAAAAAGACCCCAACTTTTGCAATGCCTGGCTACCAGCCTGAGTCAGTAGTGTATAGCAAATAGGGGGAAGTTGATCCAACCGGTCTCTTATTTTATCACACGTTAGACTCAATCGCCTCAGTATTCGTATTATTTAACCGCTGAATGGAAATCCAAAGAGAATGAGCGCGTGTTATTCAGTTTTCATTTTTTTTTTCATTTCAGTTATACTTCACAGACAGGGGCTTTGGCGCCGCAGGGTCTGCCGGCGCTGGTGATGAGAAGGCTGCCATTAAGGACGTCTACAAGGGTCCGGCGTTTGCAGGTCCTCCGTTCAATGAATTGTGAGGTTACACCACCAATAATGCTAGAAACCGCGATAATCGTGTTTAACGGAAAAAGCGCGTCATGAAGAAGTCAACAAATAATACATTTGTTCCTTTGATTTTTTACTGGGAAATTTTCAGCAATGCGAAGAAAGATGACCTCTCGCAACAGAAAAAGGCAACCCATTGTTAAATATGACATTGTTGATTTTTGCATTTTGAAAAAGTACATTGTATGGTATCTGCTAAAATTGATAGCTCATTACGTCTGTAATTATATTTGATAATTAAGGCCTAGGCAATGATTACAATATTTGGTCATCATTTTTACGTTTCCAGGACACGTTAAGCATGTGGCTTTTTTTTCCGAGGACCGAACTTTTAACAAAACAACCAAATTAAATATTTTTGGACAAGATGTGTAGCGACTGCCCAGGGATACTTTTGGTTGCTCTTAATGTAGACCGAGATACCTATTTATGAATAAATAAACATGCCTAGCTTTAAAAATGAATTAGTTCATGTCATTGTTTATATGTGTTTGTAAGATAGAAAGACAGAGAGAGAGAAGTGTGTGTGTGTGTGTATGTGTGTGTGTGTGAGAGAGAGAGAGCGAGAGAGAGAGAGAGAGAAAGAGAGGGAGAAAGAAATAGAGCACCCGAATTAAACGAATTTGTGCTTATATGAAACATCACTTTCCCATGTCATACATCATTTTATCATTTTAACTACACGCATACCCCCCATATTACTCCAAATGATATAAATTTGGTCTAAAATTTGGTCTAAAATGATCTAAAATTGATCGATCTAATCTCTGGGAATGGGGTCAATGAATGCAATCCAACTCGTTTTGATTCAGTAGCTTTTCCCGTATAACAGCAGGTCATACCACCTGTTAACCGTGATCGGTAGAAAAACGATATCTCATCGGCAGAAGTATTTGACAAATATGTTTTACTCAAAATTACCATCACTGCAATCGCACCAGTAATTAAACACTTGAATGTTTTTTTTTCTCCTCTTAGGGTCTCGCTAAAAGTAAAACACGCCTGTTGTGTACCGCATCTGATCCCATTGTACCCTTTAATATCATGGGTAAAGCCAAAATAAATGTTAGTATAAAACAAACTCCGAGCTCCGTGTCGGGTTCTCAAACACGACTTCCTGTGCATCATGAACTTTACCTTTCATGTCTGGGACTGGGGTTTCGTGGGATGAAATGCGGCACCCGGATTTTCGATTGGGAATAGCAGATCTACACATGTACATCCAATCTGGCGCTCTCCGTGACAAGGTTGAAAGTTTCCATCTGATCACCTCTTGTCAACGAAACTGTCGTGGCTGCGTGGTAACTCTGCTGACTTGTAGCAGGCAGGAACTCGGACTCTGGTTCGAGTCCCAGCAGCTACTGTGTCAATTTTTGCCAAAATTAATTTTTAAAAAATTGCGATTGATTACTATAAGAGGAAACTCGCACGTACGGAGGGTGGGCGGGTCAGTCACGGAGCAGTCGGTAGCGTGCATGGATACAAATGAGACAGCCAACGCGTCATCAACCTTGGTAACGCAAAGTCACGGGTTCGAGTCCCGGATGAGGCATGTCACGACAACGACATGGCCCCTGAATCGGGATGCCACGAGACCAAAACGAATGAGGGCTCTCGTGGGACTTAGCAAATTACCTTTTGCATAAAAATACGGAATACTTCAGAAAGTTTACATCTCCTTGGACAATTACATTTCCTTTCTCTTCAGTTAAAAGTACTTTCATTGGTGCCACGATCTTGAACTTAAATTGAGCTAAAGCTAACTCCGTATGTTCTGCATTTCATCTTTTTGGTGGGATTGCCAGAGAGAAAACTTTTAACAAATGTTGCGTCGCCTCTACTCCTTTTATCAGGTACAGGTTTTGTCTTTTTATGCCCCTCCTTTCCTATCTTGGGCCCTTGCTTCTCACGGCTGTTCATATGTTCATACCGTACCCGGGGCAAGTCCGCAGTCGACATTTGAAAGATTAAAGACTACTCAATACTGAAACCGCAGAGGTGTGAACAGCTGTGCATCTCACCGTGCTCTATAACGTCAAAGGTGAAAACAAACGTTATCTCAGTGCAAAACAAAATGAAAATAAAAGCATCTGAAGTCGTCTAACTAGGAACGTTCAGAGCAGGCCCATCAATGAATGCAATCCAACTCGTTTTGATTCAGCAGCTTTTCCCGTATAACAGCAGGTCATACCACCTGTTAACTGTGATCGGTAGAAAAACGATATCTCCTCGGCAGAAGTATTTGACAAATATGTTTTACTCAAAATTACCATCACTGCAATCGCACCAGTAATTAAACACTTGAATGTTTTTGTTTTTTTTTTTCCTCCTCTTAGGGTCTCGCTAAAAGTAAAACACGCCTGTTGTGTACCGCATCTGATCCCATTGTACCCTTTAATATCATGGGTAAAGCCAAAATAAATGTTAGTATAAAACAAACTCCGAGCTCCGTGTCGGGTTCTCAAACACGACTTCCTGTGCGTCATGAACTTTATCGTTCACTTCTGGGACTGGAGTTTCGTGAGATGAAATGCGGCACCCGGATTATCGATTGGGATAGCAGATCTACACATGTACATCCAATCTGGCGCTCTCCGTGACAAGGTTGAAAGTTTCCATCTGATCACCTCTTGTCAACGAAACTGTCGTGGCTGCACGGTAACTGACTTGCAGACAGGCAGGAACTCGGACGCTGGTTCGAGTCCCAGCAGCCTCGGGTGATATTGACTTGCTTGCGACAAATTGCCATTTTTGATTTGGGTTTGGCATATTGTTGTTTGAGCCTCGGGTAATGTTTGACTTGGTTGTGACAAATTGTGTTATTTTTTATTTGGGTGTGGCAGATTGTTTGAGCCTCGGGTAATGTTTGACTTTGGTGAGATAGACCGCGATGAATGTGCCAAACATACAACAGGTTGTGTCCACACGCTTAAGTGTGGCAGTGATAGGTGTGGAACTGACATAATATAAAACAAACAAAACCCTTAGTTTTTTCAATGAGTTTAATTTTCCAGAAAATTAGGGAAAATGTTCAACAACTAGATGCAACTGCTCCAAAGCAAATATCAAAACCAACCAAATTGGACAATACCTACATGGACAATGAACCATACAAATTGGACAATGCCTACATGGACAATGGACCATGCAATTCTATTCTTGCATGTACAGGTAAGAAAAACCAACAAGAATGACACTTTTGCAAATGACCATTTACTTAGGGGAAAAAAACTTACATTTGTGTAGAAATAATACACAAGTTGCTAGTATTCAGTATAACTGTACCTGAATTAAGAGTACATTATCATTTTTGGATCAGAGAGTTGACTGCAATATATGGTCCTGCTTACGATAACCTTCAGCTTCCTATGATGTATCTAAGAAGGGCCTTTTACGAGGTATATAAATTCTACCAAGATACAATTTTATAACAAAATGTGATGATAAATATATCCCTAGGCGTTTGTTTTGTTATTTCATATAATAAAGCAGAAAGGATAAAGCCAGAGATTCTACATCTTATGTAAACTAGTCTTAAAAGTATATACACAAAATAAGTCAATGCCGTACGTAACATACAACAGCTGGGGCAGGTTTGAGACCACCAAAAATACTTTTAATATTACAAATTCAAAACATTTACAAAGGCAAACACATGCATTATTTGAACGTTTTCATCCTCTAAGGTACAAAGGCCATTGTTTCCATCAATATGTCATGCTACAAACTTGTAAAAAGGCAGGCTTGTTTAGCCTTCAAGACGATTTGATAGTCATCTGAAAAGAGAATTCTGAAGGTCATACCTGGCTTTTAAAGATTATGGAATAGAACCCATTATAAATTGTAAAGGTATACGATCTGCATTTGAAAATGTCCCAGAATTATATAATATTTCATGTCTCCATATGTCCTGCAAGGATACCTATCTTTCCCAATTCAGCCATTAAAAATAATGAAACCCCTCATATAAAATAACCAGATGCCAATTTTTTTCCTTTTGAAATGTAGAGGAAGACAAGGCAGCCAATGAGACTGGTCAATCACTTAGAACTAGATTGCTGAATGTAGAACTAACTGCCCAATTAGAAAAGGTATCAAACATTAAATCACAACAACAGTCTTTCAATAGGAAAGATTGATTTTTCTGTTGTGCTTTGATCTGGCTGGAAAATCCCCAATGGGAATTTAAACNTACACGCTGGTGGTACTAACTATACATGTTATATTTACTGATGTCCTTGAAGTCCACTAGAGGGTCATGGTGTAGTACTCGAAAAAGGTCATAGGTCAAGTAGACCTGAGGTGAAAATCAATCTTCCAAAGAAATAACAATTCTTAAGTGCAAATTATATTTCTTAGGAAGATATTATAAATCTGAATTTATCATTCAAAATATTATTTACCACGTTGTAGATAGTGCCTCATTTAAACAGTTGCTTTAATTCGCCATCAGAAAGTTTAATATTCAAAATTTTTTTTCTATGTCCTTAAAATTAAAAAGGGTGAAGAGGCACATTTTTATCAAATCACTTTTTACAATGCCAACCAAATTTCATTCACAGAAATATGTCGCACCACACATCCAAGGACAAAGAAGTTGCTCCAAGCCATCTGTACATCATAACATACTAGTACGCAAAACTTTGGAGCCATTTCTCACCTTTCAGCAATATCATAATACTGGTCACTGAATCTGAGCCTGCCACCAAAGGCATACAGATAGTGGTCAATTGCCACCAACGCCATTCCAGATCGAGCTTTTTCCATTTCTGCGACAAATGTCCATTGGTTGGTCTCGGGGTCGAAGCATTCTACGCTGGCACGGTCAGTATGGTAAGCCTTGTCGTATCCACCTGAAAGAACAATTTTAATATGAATTTTAAGACTATAAAATTAATTCTATGGGGATAAGATATTACATAAAGAAAATAATTTAGCCAATAAAAATATTAAAATATACACTTTCTGTAATAGTTCACCCTGTAAAAGCGTGTGTTAATTTTAAAAGCTTTAAAAAGTGTAAGAATATGAATCATCAAGTTGAGACCACAAACATACAACATAGAATCAAACTCCTTCCACATCTTTCACATATATTCATCACACATACCAATAAGCTAATTTCCATATTCCAGTATACCCTTGGGAACAGATTTTATGGTTAGGCATTATCATTATTATTATGCTTGTTCCTTCATACAGTTAATTCAGGGTGACCCCAATTGCACAAGAATTACACAGAGACCAAATGTTTTACCCTTCAAATTATAAATAAATAAAAAATATATAATATAAACAAAAATAATAAACAAATAAGGCTGGTTTTTCCAACCTGAGCTGTATTTTAGTCATTTAGTTTTTCAGTGTCCAAATAATAAATTATATCCTTTTCCTTTGATTGTGTTTACAGTGAAAAGTGCATGAGATGATAATAACAGACGCAAGCCATGGCTATACACACGGATATACTGTGTCTGTGCATAAAAAGAAACATACAACTATTATACCTGCTACATAGATGACCCCGTCACATACTGCCACTCCCGCGCCAGCTCTACGACGCTGCATGTTAGGAACAAAATGCCACGTATCAGTTTTTGTATTGTATCTTTCCACGATGTTGAAACTGCTCCCTCGATCTTCTCCACCTGCGAGAATAAATCAAGAGTTCTTATTTGAAGTGTTTAAGCAAAGCTGCAATGACTGCACATGCAGACATGACGTAAACTCTGACAGCACTGACAGATTAACAACTTTCTTTAAAGTCAAATGAAATTCATACATACTGCCAACATACGGTATTAAACCCAAGACGTAACTGCACACTTTTAGCTAGAAAACAAGAGAGAATAATGATCCAAAATATTTTAACAATAAAAACATTTTTTTAAAAATTACAACGAAACTTGCTATGAGAAGAGCAGTAAAATGAGAGAATGAGACATGGTCAAGGCTGGATTGGTCATAGATGTATATATTTATTGTTTTTTTTTTTTTCTATGTCTGCAACACAGGATATCAGATCAATTTTCTGTCATACCAACTGACATTCATACATACCAATAGCATACAGATACTCTCCACAGGACACTACGGCCACAAAGGATCGTGGGATTTTCATGTCAGCTTTACTTGTCCAGCATTTAGATATGGGGCTATAGCATTCCACGCAGCGCAGGTACAGGGTGTCGTCCTGGGTCTCTGCCAGTGCACACTCTCCGCCCACCGCGTACAGGAGTCCATTCACTGTTGTCGCACCAACAGCTGTTCTCGCTACAGTCATGTTGCCCTGAATTGAATGATGGAATTGAAATCTTTCTTGAGAACTTTAGAACTGTCTATATGAAGAGAGAGAGAAAGTGAGACATTTTGCTAACCAGCAAAATTTCTACACTAACAAAAGATCTCTTTAGTTACTGAAATGTATTGCATATAACCTGGCATTCATTTAATCAGCATCAAGGACATTTTACATTGTTCTATATCTTTAGTAGTTCAAATTAAGCATTTTGTTTTCAGAAGTGCTACCATGCAATCATTTAACAAGCCTGATGCCAAGTGTACCAGTACATGCAATGTATCACTAGCAATTTTGTTTTAGACATGGAATCTGAACAAATTACCATCTGAGTCCACTGGTCTTGAACAAAATCATATTTCTCGACAGATTTCAATTGGCAGTCTGTGCTATTTCTGCCTCCAAGGACATATATAGACTGGGGTTGGGCTCGGCTTGCTATCCTTCCCAGCATGCCACTCTCATTCTTTATCTTCACTGCCTGAGCAACGATACTCTGGCATTTTGCACAATTTCGCACAAAATCACACTGTAAAACAACATTCTCCAGATAGTTCAAGTCAAGCAAGGCAAGGCGGACATAGGGTAAAATTTGACAAGCATTCTCTGCTCGAGCATATGGATCCCACTCGATCCAACGAATTGTAGCATCTGCCACATCCTCTTCACATGTAACTTGTAACTGGTCACTTTTGAGTAAATTGAGCAGCTGTCCCTCGGGGAGTTGTAGAAACTCGTCTGTGTGAGATAAATCAAGGAAATGCTGAGCTATGTAATTCCAGGAAATCGTGAGAAGATCTGAGCTTGAGTATGTGTCCGCAAGGTGGTAGATTCCTGGAAATTTTAAAGAAATGATGAGTCAAAAACGTTTTTTTTTTCTTTTGGAAGTAGGCAAGTCCATAACTCGAGCAGATATTTCATGTGAAGTGCCGTATAACGTATGTTACAGTTTTCATAAAAACATGACACAAGTGAAGTCGATCAAAGTCCAGAATGATAAACATGGTCCCTACTTAAAGCAAACTTGAAAACCTTTTGTTAATTTTCTGGTTACTGGCCACTTTTTACTACTTCGGATCAAAAGATTCTTAAACATTTGCAGCCCAAAGCCTTGGGACAGAGAGTGTGCCTGATACAACATAAGGGAAGACCACTCACCTAAACAGTTTGTAGCATCCAGCTGAGTCTGCAAAAAGTTACTACACACACTTCGCACACTGCCGATGTTCAGCATGCTCGCAGCGTGCAACACAGCCTGCACATTATCAACCGTAATCTCAATCTTCCCAGTGTACATGAAATCCAGTAAAATCCTCATGGCAGCTGGGTCAATGCCATGTATTTCCACCTGATTTTTCTCTGTCTCCAGCATACCATTTGTGAACATGGCACGTAAATACGGGCTGCTGCCAGCGAGGACAATTTTGTGTGCGTGAAACTCATGTTTTTCAATGAGAAGGACTATGTCACAGAGCTCGCATTTTTTGCGTAGTTCGTCCATGGTTTGGAAGGCATTCACCATGTGCAGGTGGATCCCAAAAAGTCTCGAGTCAATCATGGTGGCTGTTGAGTAGGAAGTTTGCAAATAATCTCAAATTGATGATTCACACCAGGATCTTCACCAGCTCATGGCTACCTAGAAGAAAGAGAGAAAAAAAATTAAAAGATATGATAATCTGTTATTTCTGTTGGATTTTTTTTTTCCAACTAACAAAAGATGTTTCAAAACACTTCACTCAGATGAAATTAACATGAGACCTTTCTTCTTCCTTACAGTGTATCACTGTACAGCACGTAGTATGTCTTCTTTCCTATTGTGTAAGATCATACTAGTATATACCACTTTTGTATTGCCTAAAATGGTTGCCCTACATTTCCCTATAAAATTTATATATGGATATTTTAGCATGAAAATACTAATTGGTTAATAAGGTGACTCGCTGGAACAAACACAAACACTAATAAAAATTATAAATTTAAAAATGAATAAATAAATAGCAATTTTCTTAATTTTATTCATCTTCCTATCTGCATCAACTCAAGCTGCTGACAGCGAAAGTTCAAAGCTCTAAAAATCATTCATTCACAAATTACAGCTGAGTCTGCCATAAACCCCTAACCCCTGAAGTCTCTTTTGTCAGAAAATGGTAATTTTAATAGATTTTTGTACATTAAAACATTTTATGGCTGGGATACAAATATCACTGCATGCCCTATAGCCTCTTCCTTCAATCAGCACTTCTTCATTTTCTTTGACAGTTGCTCTCAACAGCGAGTCGACAACGCTATTTTGAGGTAATCTATGACCACAGGGGGCACTACTAGTCTTTTTACAAAAAATGTTTTGAGCAGACCATTCCCCACAGGGCCCCACAAGGTGATTTTTGTATAGTATTATATAGTATTTTACAAGGGCAATTTTGAGGTTTCTGTCCTCTAAGTACTACAGAACCCCTCGCACAGGATCCCATCTAACTGTCAATGTTCTATTAATATTCAATATACATGATGAAGACAAAGAGATTAAAAGTGCTGTCATGCAGGCAACCTTGTACACAGGTTTTTGCAAGTGAATATGAAAATATACAGTATGAATCACGGCCTATTCATAGGCACGCGTTCTGATACCAGCATGCCGAGATCAATTAGACCAACTTTCTCTATCAGCTTTCATGAAAATAGAATTGCCTGGAAAATATGTCTGTCGTGTTTGAAACACACTGGACTGAGTAATTACTGTAATTGAATGTATTAAACTATTGAAACTTAGATTTGAGACTCCATTCAAAAAAATTAAAAATATATATAGGTAAATAATAATAAAATTAATAAGCAATAAGTGTACTGCAATACTGTACTGTTCTGAGTCAATGTGCAAGAAAGAAGAAAAATTTAAAATATAGAATTCATTATATATTATTTTAAAATTTCTGAAAAACTGACACTTATATTCACTTCATGAAATTTACTTGCATCCAAACAGTGTTCTGTTAGATGAAAACTGTATGCAAATTTTGAATGCAGTTTGGTTTCAAGTCAGATAAAATAAGTATTCACCCCTGAAATATGATAAATTTTACAAAAGCAAAAAATATTTTTTAAAACATAAGGGGTTTGAAAGTTGTGGGTAATTACCATAATAAAGGTGCCATTTCTTTGGGTTCATCACTGGATGCCATGGCAACTGATGTGGGAGGGGGGTCAACTGACAATCAGCTTGTTGTTGACAGAGAAAACTCATAATATGTATGTTCATCATAAATTAAGAGTTCAACTCAGGTGTATCTATGTAATTTAGGTCAACCACACTCAGGTTAAATCCTATTTATACTGCATGAGGGTAATGCCAGTGCAAGTAACCTAACTTTAACACCATAACTAGCATGTACACAAGCACATAAATTTATACTTAATGTTGTGCTTTAGTATAGCTCTTTAGTATGAAAGATCATGCATTTCCTATATTTAGCAAGTTATTTCAAAGAAAAACAATCTGTACTAGTTATTAAACCCTTCCAAATATCACACAGAATTTATATATTCATGAGCAAATAAAAGGTATGCCTTACGTATCATTTCTGTGGCCTTTAAATGGGCTGCTGTTCATCATATCACAAAACGCTGGAGGAATTCCAATTTATTCCCCATCAGATTTTGTGTTATTTCTTAACACCTGCTCTCTCTCTCTCTCTCTCTCTCTCTCTCTCTCTCTGTCAGCCATACAGGTTGAGATGCTGTGCATAATATCCCCCCCCCCTCAATTTAAAGACTAAACTGAGTAAACTGAGTACTAGTACAATAATGATAGCCCATATATACACTGTGTACAACCATGTACTATTATCTATCACCATCATCATTAGACCACACGAATGGAAGGGTTTAACACTTAAGGTATCTTCCCAGAACAGTGTAATCCTGCATCATGTATTTAAGGTATTTAAGTTAGAAATGAGAATATATGCACCTCTGACATATATACTAGTACAGCATATTCCCTACGAAGGTTGAGGGTTGAGGTGTGTTTTAAATTCAAAACAAGAATGAAGAGATGATAAACCTTTATAGAATGATTTCTAAAAAGAAAAGTAAATGTGGTATGTGCCCTCCAATACCCCCCCTTCAACTCCCAACTCAAAAAACAAATCAAAGGAAAAAGCAAACGTTAGAATTACGGAATGAAAATTAATATATATGCAGATTGAACCCACCACAAAAAACAATGACAATGACATTTTACAAAGTATACATGTAGAAGCTGATAGTCATGGACATCTCAAAAAAGTGAAAGCAGCGTGTACTAGCTAGTACTATCAGAAAGAGTATCAATTTAATAAACTGTACTTAAAAATAAGGTCAAAAAACAATCCCTTTGTCAGAGAAATTCCTGAAAATGAAAACACAAAAGTGTGCCCCTCGCCCCTCATTAACCTTTCCCTCCTTCGGTTTTCTAAATCAAATCACAGTCACCAACTACTAATTGTCATTCTTGATCAACATATGTTCCTTACCGTTCACCTGCTACTTTATGTCGGATTCACCTGAAAAATATGCGTCACACCTGTTCAAAAAACGATATCCGAGTCTCCCATGCAATTCGACCAGTGTGCCCTTTACTGTTTATTCTTGTCCAACGAGACGGACGTCATCAGTGCGGGGTTAACTTTAGATCTTATCTAGAAGTGCCAGGGGATTTACGTCAATGAAAAAAGGCGAAGGGCCCAGGGGAGCTAAATTCAAAATAAAACAGCTACATTTGAGCTTAGATGAGAAAGGGCGATTTAGACACACCTGCAAACTGCAAAAATAAATATTAAACCTCACCTTTGTGTCTCGCTCCTTGGCCAAGTGTCTTTGTGTTGTTTATTCTACACATAAAAATGCTAATCGCGATATTTCCGCTTCTTTCCTTGCGTGAGCCTCATGGCAAATACTTCCGGTAGATGGCGGCTTTAGTCAAGACAGGCCATTCCCGTGTGTTCTCCATTAAATATTAGGGGACTATTAGGTGAAGGTGATAGCACTGGTAATCTTAGAAAGGCCAGGTGCTCATCAGAAGAATAAACGTATGACATGTGGAATATTTTATTTGATTCAATAATAATCATCATCATCATTGCTATCTGTAAAATTTCAGGCTGTAGGCTACGGAAAATCAGACAATCAAAAATGTCTGAGGCAGCTGTGCTGGGTGTACATGTATATTTATACGCCTCGCCTAAAGTGGCTGGTTATATGTTTGTGTCTTGTGTGGTGCTCATCAAAACGCTGACTGAAGGAACAGTTTGAATTTTATTATGGACTGGGTAAAAGGAAAAGCTTAACACTTCCCAAAGATACCAAAATATTTTTTCAACTTGGTATTTTACTTTATTTGTGATATTTTTAATCTTTTAGCCTATTTGCTTGTTGATTTTTGTATTCCTCAATTTATTAGTTTTACTAACGTACTAAATCATATATGTATGTATTGAAACTTTGAACCTGAGTGAATTACAGGAGACGACTGTTTTCCAATTCCAACTTTTTTGCTGGACTCGCTGTACATGTAGGCCTATACTGTAACAGGAAGAAATTAACTTTAAGAACGAAACTGATGTTTAAATACAAGGTTTGTATTTTTCCAGCATAAATGTCATTTCATCAGCAGTTTGTTTAGATTACATAAACATGAGGGCTGTAAGGAACACCCGCAGATCTTGTTCGAGACAGCTGCGTAAACAGCGCAGTTAAAACCTTACAATTCCTCATACCTCTTGATAAAAAGACTCAAGTTTTACTTCTTTCTGCAAATCGCTTGAGTCACGGAAAAGTTTCATCATCCAGAACAGTGCCGCTCACAATTTCATGCAGCACGATTGACTTTCTCCCATCAAGATGTTCGTGTTGTATATACTGATACCTACAGTGTTGGACACTCTTCAGACTGGTGTGTTTGTGAGATCCGACCTCGAGGAGGATTCACCACCTGCTGGCCAACAGGTGAAGCTACTGGGTACCCCTTGTTTGCGAGCTAGACAGTGTGTTTGATGGCTTACACGTATGCTACTCTCTTTGCTTGCTTGTACGATTGTGTGAATTAATTGTTGCTTACCAATATTAAAGACTTAATATGAAATTATACACAGGTAGGGCCTACAACCCGAGCCGCCTATACAGTATACTAGCAGTCTGAATAAGTTTTCTTTGAAGAAATGATAATGAAATTAATTTTGTCCAGAATCCATTAAATTGATCAGCAGATTTTAACAAGTAACGATTTAAGAAATGTAGGCTACAAACAATTTTAATGTGAGTAAAATAATCATACCACAAATTTAAAGATCTCTTTAAAATCTAGTCCATTTAGCTTTTTTTTACATATATGTTTTAAATTTCTTAATTGTCATGAGTATCTATAATATGTATAAATGTTAAGTACACTGGAAGATTTTATAGTTAATAACAGTACATAAACTTGTTCAGGGTATAAAGGGGTCGTTATAGATCTTTAATCTATAGCTTATTTATATAAAGCCTACATATCGTCAGTAGTAACTGATCAAGTAATCTTAAATTATCTTAAACAAAAAAGATAGTCATGTGATAATAATAATAGCTAGCAAGAAAACGTTTGACAATTTACATTGCTTATAATGTTCCAGGTTTATCCTTTTGTTTCCAAGAAATGGCTCATAAAAGTGCAACGCATTTTCAACCTAGTTGACGAGAACCGCGACGGCATGATAACTGAGAGAGAGCACACTGACAAAATAGTGGAAAGAGCAAAAGAATATCTGGGAAAAGAGAGCGCGCAGGAATTGAGAGATATATTACAAGAGGCGTGGGAAAATCTTTGGCCCACCGGAGAAATTGGCCATCAAGGTGGGTTTCAGTTTGCTGACGTCATCGGCGTCTTCGCGCGTCTGATTGAAAACGTTAAGACAGAACGAGAGACTAGGCTCACGTTCCGGGGGGTGTTCCATGCAGCTGACGCCGATAATAACGGCAAGCTTAGTCTTGAAGAGCACACCGGGTATTTGAAAGCGTACAACGTACAGGCTGGCTTTCAGGAATCATTTGATTTTGTCGATGAAAATGAAAGTGGTGCCATTGAAAAGAGCGAATTTGTGAACGTGCTCTTGGATTATTACTATAATAAGCATGACTCGTCGCTACTGTTTGGGCCATGAAACATTTGATAAATCGCCTTTTGGCATCTATCGTTCTCATTGTGATGTGTTACTTTGCCCAGAATAAAGCTGCTAGAGTAGGCCTATCAAGGTGTCCATCATTTTGTGCGACGTCTGACGTCATTAGGCAATTCTGATTTCTCCTCGTTATTTTCGTGTTCAGATTTCATAAACTTTACAAATACAGCATTTGAGTAATTATAACAGTAAATGTCCATTGTAAATGTTTGCCAATAATTAATTGACTTAAGACTGCAAAATAGGTCAATATTTGCTACATAAGGTCATATGTGTATATATATCATTCAAGATAACACCAAAATTTGCAACATTGCCGTCATCAAAACACTTAATATCTAGAACGATCTTCACCAAGATTGCCAGTTCCAGATTGCTCCACGTCGTCATTTGAACTTAGCACGAGGTCTGTGTACAGGGTTTCCTGCCAATGGCGCATTGGATGTTCGTAATCTACCGGGGTATAGAAATACAGAATTAATATAAGTAAATGAGGTTGCTGAATTCAAGATCATGCAGCGCAGAAAATAGTTTTAGCGCGGTCTAACTCGCGTTACAAACTTTTAAAGGCTTCAAATTCATTCAAAGCTTGGGTAGTTTTATACAAAGGTTTGACACATTTTCTTCATTGAATTAACCTACTAAACATACCAATATTTTCACTGCAGTGCTCCAGCCCTAGATTGGAGACTTCTCTTTCAGGAACACTACTTGAACTGTTAGCCTCCCGTTCTCGTCTTCGTCTTCTAAAATATGCATTCATAATGTGCGTCACAACTGATTATGCCTGCCTCTACTGAAGCTTAAGTACTAGTATAATCCTACCGTTCTAACGTGCCAAACGTGTGAAACGTGGCCATATTCTTTAGTTAATAGATGCACTTCCCTTATTCATCTTTTGTAAGTGCCCATTGGTCGGAAAAGTAATAGATGCAGGAACAACCCCTACGGCGGTCTAATAATGTTGCAAATTCACTACCTAAGTGACATTACCTCAGCAGTGTTATCACGATTGCCATAACCACAACCGCCGCCACAAATGTGGCGCCAACAACACCACCGACGATCCCACCGATTTCTGGATCTAAAATGTTTACAAAAGTGAAAGTGACAATTTGTTTGATAAATATTTATTGTTGCTGTTTGGGTTTGGGAAGTTGACTAAATACCAAATAATAACAATAATCAAAATCAGACAAAAAATGATGTTCTAGAAATTTTGTAGCTTGTGTTTTTCAGCCATCTAGGCCTACTCGTATAACAGTTGCTGGCACATTTTTCTTTCAAGTTATGTTTCTTGTTACCATTTTACTTATGTTCGAAAAGCCACATACCTTTTGGTTCCGTCCACGTGACAAGCTGTGACGAATTCCCATAACCTGCCGACGTTTTGGCTTTCAAACTACACGTGTACTTAGTCCCCGATGTCAACTGTTTAAAGACGTAGCTTCTTGCATGCATACTGAGCTCTGCAGAGACACCTTTGCCATCAGTGTAACATTCAATCTGGATTGAATAACAGTTAAAATAAAAAAATTGAGTCAAAATGTACAGAACTATGTCAAACGATCCATATTTGTAGTGCGTTTTTATTATTATTATTATTTTTGACAAGCATCGAACAATTACCTTGTAGCCTGTTATTATTCCATTTCTGACACGTGGTGCTTTCCATGAAAATTCTAGAGACGTTTGCGATCTGCTTGTAGCGGTGAAGTTAGAAGGTGGTCCTGGCTCTGTTCAAACAAAAAAGCACGTATTATACCATCATCAGAAGAACATTTGCATAGCTCTTAAACAATTTATATCTGAAGTGAACATATTATTAATCAGTGTAACGTTTTTTCTTCTTTAAATGACATTGGTACATAGCTCAGCACTTCTTGGTTCATACAAACTTGCCTCAACTGTTATTGTTTCAATGGCCTCACTGTACTCCCCGTAACCAAGGTTGGTCATTGCACGAATCTTAATCAAAAAGGAGTAATTAAATTTGTCATTTAAGTGTGCCTCCGGTAAAGAAATCGAGACACTCGAAAAGAAAAACTCAAAGAAGATCAAAGCCTCTTTCATAAAGTATTCATAATCAACGATATCGTATGGCTGGCATCAATTCAAAGATAACTGAGTCATGTTTGCGCAAAAACATGTCTTCGACAAAGCTGAAGAGATACGATGAAAACTAACCCTAAACCAGTGCGTCGTGTTGTATTGAAGGTTGCCTATAGACTTCCCCCTAGTGTCAGAGCTCACAATCAATACCTTCCAGTTAGTCACTTCCATTGTATAACCTATATCATAATCAGTTATGATTCCCCCTGGAGGCCACGGAGCTTCCCAGGTCAACTCTATGGAATCTTTACTCCGACTTACAACGGTAGGCGGTGCCATTTTTGGTGGGACCGGACAATACAGAACCATTTGTTTGGATTTAAGCAAGTCATTACATATTAACTACTACCATTTGTACACTGACTTCGCAATTAGTTTAGTTGGGCCCTATCACTATTACTAAAAGTGCTTTGAACAAACAAGTATTAACACCAACATTACCTATATTTTAGAACATTTTGTAGTACCTACCTCCTTCCGGTGTCCGCCCATTAAGCACCAATACTGGTCCCTCAAGATTAAGATTACTCACTGCTGATATGTACACTGTAAAATTGCTGTATGGAACCAGGTCTTCGATATAAATGTCCTGACTTTCTTTGACAACCACAACGTCTTTCCTGGTGTTGTTTCCGTACTCTCTATTGACATACAGTTTCAGTTTGGCAAATCCATCACACCTATGTACCGCTTCTGTCATATCCTAAAATGGCACGCGTAGAAAAAAGCATAGTAATGTTTCTTTATTATTTTCTATGTTTGTTGTTAATGTTCTCACTACTGAAATACGCATCATATAAACATTCGTAAATTATAGTAAAAATTACATTGTTGTTAGGTTAATATACCAGTAAGCTTATATCTCCCTCAGTAAGATATAGAGACTTAATTAAAGTTCCGATTTGTTTAGATCCGTATAATGTACATCATATAATTAATTAAAGCCAGGCAATACTGATAAGTTTGTTTATGAGCTCGACCGACCATAATTTTGAAAAAAAATGATGTTTTTTTTTCACTCCTATTTCTGTTGGAGTGAAAAAAAAGTGATTTGGGATTGGCTTGCTATGTGGAAAATTTTACAAATGACCCAAGGAAAATCGTAAAGTTACTTTTCTGTGCTTACACTCGCTCACTCTCTGAGGTTGATACTCCTCCCTTTGAAAAAAAATAAGTTACTTAGATAGAGTCGCCGCCCATTTAACATTTTATCATTTTGTCTGGCCAAATGACGAACATGAGTTTTTAATCTTATCTGTGCAGTGTTCCACGGTACTTTCAGGGATAGGATAATGTCTGGTTGTGGAATAATGGAAGGAGCTAGTTAGAAAAATCAGAAAAAATATTTATACCATACTATACCAAAAATCTGTTTATTTTAATTGGCTAAATCTGTGTCAAATGAAATTACATACACAGTGTAAAAATTGCATTCAAGTAGTTATCTGTCTAGAACAAAGTAGTTACAAATTTTTATTATGGATCAAATTTTATGAAATAATACTGCATAGAAGCGGTGTTTAACGATGGTTTCATTTCAATATCGGGGTGTCTGAGTGCTTGATATAAAAGACGCCAACGTGCGAGATATCAGGAACGTTAGGTATAGATACATGTTTTTTTAACCATTTTATTATTATTTAGCATGCTACTCCCTGTCTTCAGTAATTTTGTTCAGTAAAGAAATTATTAACGTTTGAGGGGCAACACCGCAAAAGGCAGAGCCCCAAAGACAATGCTACCCAGTACATGGCATGTTCTTCAGTGCAGTATTGATGGACTCATTTCATCCGGTTTGATAACTAAACACCACATTTTCTAAGCTGATCACCATAAAATTATAGTTGTATCGAGTTAAGTAACATATCATCTATTATCTTCCGAGATTTGGAAATAAGGTAAGAATCATTTTTGACATTCTTACCTCCACATGTCATTTTAGCGACACTCGGACTTTGTTTCCCCTCCTGTCCTTCTTCATCCTCGATAGATACAGTGAACTCATACGCTGTGTACTCCAGAAGGTTTTCAATGGCGATGGACGTGATATCCGCAGAATTTTTCCTAACGTCAATGACGTTACCGTCTTTCCAGACTCTGGCAACGTAAGAGCGTACGCTGCCTTCCCCCGGGTATCTCCCCGAAGACCAAATGTCCCAGCCAATGCTAACAGAATGAAGCGTTCTTGAGGTCACTGTAGGTGCCATCTCAAAATACGGCTTTTCTGTGTGGGTAAAAAGGTATAAGGATACTATATATGGTGGTATTTGTAACTTTGCAAAGCATTTCTAGTAACGTGTCCCTACTTCTGTGACAAAAGATTATTTACTGGAATTACGTTTATTATATAGCAAGTAAAAAGGTTTATTTACGCTGATGGCATCCGTAGCCTTTCCAGTAGGTTTGACACCCTTCAGGACACCTGAAGCCATTGGGTATACTGCAGGTAAAATTTCCTAGGCAGTGGCACGTGTATTCACATAATGGCCCAAATTTCCCAAA